CTGCACTGATAGGATGCCTCATCTGGTCCCTCCAGACTTCCCCTTAGGCTCACCCCAGCTCTATGCCTGTGGCTTCAGGGCAGACCCTGATCTCTGTGGCCTCTTTAACCATTTGCTAGCCATTCTGTGACCTGAGCTGTCTATCACTTACATGTCAATGTGTGATCTGCTGGTTAATGTTAGTGATTCAAACTGGATCAAAGGGGCAGGTGTGGCTGTGCACATTTTTCATCCCAGTACCTGGGAGGCAGAGCCAGGCAAGTCAGTTTTGTGAGTTCAATGCCAGCCTTCTCTACCTACATATGGAGCACAGGCCAGCCAGTACTAAATAGTTATACAAGTCTCAAAAGACAAACACAACACAACTGGGATAAATGAGCTAGAATGGTAGAACATAAATTTTAGGCCCAGGACAATTGACAGAGGTGCCTATTTAACACATCAAAGGTTCTCTCTGTGTCTCTGTTACAGGGCCTTCCTGCTTAGCATACCTGGCCCTCCACCCTTAACTCTCCAGGCCCTGGGCTGGGCTGCCCTTCCCTTGACTGCCAGATTTTTTTTTTTATATACCTTCAGATCTCCTGGCTGCTGTACCTGATTCCTGTCACATGATTCAAGGGACATGTCCACTCTGGACTCTACCAGATGTCCCTGTGTCTGACTCTGGCTATGCCTTTCCATATATCTATAATAAACCTTCTCCCCCACCACACTGAGAAGCAGTCATCTTTCTTCCTTCCTTCCTTCCTTTCTTTCTTCCTTTCTTTCTTTCTTTCTTTCTTTCTTTCTTTCTTTCTTTCTTTCTTTCTTTCTTTCTTTCTTTCTTTTTTCAATCAATTTCCACAACAGTGTTGTCTGTATAAGCAGTTCCAGGCCAAGCATAGTGAGACCTAGTCTCCAAAAAAAAAAAAAAAAAAAAAAAAAGACAATAACAAAACAAACAATAATCAAACAAGCAAGATAAAGATTAGAATAAAAGCACTTGCATTGCCACTATCCAGGTAGGAAGCAAAGTCAGGCTTATTTGGCAAATTACCACCACCATCAATGCTGGTGAATTTGAGTAGTCAATAAATTCTGACCCTGTGACCTGCCTGGCAGAAAGGAAGACTTTCTAAAGACTATGAAACAATGGACTCTCCCAAAACGAGAATTTCCTCGGAATCTCATGCTGAAAGAAGGAAAAGGTGCCAATCAGAGGGAACAGCTTGTCTTGCAGAAAGGGGTTTCACACTCTCCCAACTCCTTGTCAGGACACCTGCCAGGAAGAGACTCAAGCCCAGCAATGATGGGGTCAGTGGAGGTGGACCACACCTTGACCTGCACTGCTTGTAAATGCAGGTCCTTGGTCCTCCCTAAACTTCCTCACCTAAGGGCCCTGAAGACAGACTTAGGGGCTTCCCTAGATCTCCCTGTCCAACTTTCCAATGTACATTCATTGAGTGAATCTTTTTTCTGCTTTCCACTAATTACTTGGCTCTTTTAATTCAATTATTGAGAACAGCAGGCTGGGGCTGACTTGGGGCAAAGGTTGGGAAAGCCAAGTTCAACACCAAAGTGCCTGTTTGTTGCTTACAAAACAGCCTCAAGGCTCCTGGGTCACTGATAGATGACTGTGTTACAGGATAAGTAGAAAGGGAGCTGAGGAGAGATTCTTGGGTAGAGATATAACATCAAGACATAGTAGGCCACGTTGGCGTCCTGAAGGGAGAAACAGACTTTAATTCTGAAAGAGTGAGGGAAGTTTTCTGATCAAAAGGGCTTAGGGTGGAGACAGGATTATCCATGTCCCTGCAGCTAACTTAAGAACTGGCAGTGTGGAAGAGCAATGTGGTTAAGAACTGATAGACTAGAGCCCAGAAGCAGGGTGTTTACATGTGCTGTCTGTGTGCCGGGTATGAGCATAGAGAGCAGTGCCCCCAGAGGCTACTGGGTGGAACCGCGTTTGTGGTCTATGATGCTGTACAAAACAGTGCTCTCTTTGTTACAGTGAAAACAAATGTTAGGGGTACAGTGAATGCTCAGATGTTGGGCTGAGGAGCTGGGAAGACAGCTGAGTGACTAAGAGAGAACCTGCTGCTCTTGGGCAGGTCCAGACTTGTCCCCAGATCCCACCCCTGGCAGCTCACAACTGTCTCTGCAGCAGCGTTCTCAGTCTTCCTGACCCTCTAATACAGTTCCTCATGTTGTGCTGACCCCAACCATATTATTTTTCCTACTTCATAACTGTAATCTTGCTGTTATGAATCATAATGTAAATATTTTTGGAGCTGGAGGTCTGTCAAAGGAGGTCACAACCCACAGATTGAGAACCACTGCTCTAAGGCATCTACTGCCCTCTTCTGTCCTCTGGGGGAACCTTCACACACATGTCTACACTCACACATATACATAAATAAATATCAAAGATAAAAAAAAATACAACTATATATATATTATATATAATATATAAAAGTTTTTTAAATGTTACTTTGGAAATAGTGAGGTTAGGGACACTGGAAAAATAACTTGGAAGGCTTGCTTCTGGATATGAGGTTGCCAAGCTGCCTCACTAGGAAAACAAAGCTGATCTTGGCAGTCTCTGATTGGCATGTATGAAGCTCACCCCCCAAGTGAGCTGGGAGTCCACACAAGTGCTATGGTCCTTTCACGTGTCCTTGTGCTGTTCTAGCTAATTTTATGTCAACTTGACACATACTAGAGTCTTATCTGAGAAGAGGGAACCAAATTTGAGAAAATACTGACCATCTGTAAGGCAAGCCTGGGAGGCATTTTCTTAGTGACTGATGGGGAGGACCTAGCCAATGGTGGGTGTGGCTATCCCTGGTCCTTTGTTCAGTAAGAAAGCAGGCTGAGAAAATAATGGGAAGCAGTAAGCAGCTTCTCTCCATGGCCTGTCTCCAGGACCCTGCCCTGTTTGAATTTCTGTCTTGACGTCTTTCGATGGTGAGCAGTGATGTGGAAGTAAGTAAATTTTTTCTTCCCCAAGTTGTTTGGCTTACAGTGTTTCAGAACAGCCATACCCACCCACTAAGTCATGCACCTACCACATCTAACTGCAACAGGCTAAATAGTGGGAATGGATGGCTTTAAAAAGCTTCTACCTTCCAGGGAAGGAGAACACCCAGACAAAGCAATAGGCAAGGAGGTAACCAAGTCAAACTTCAGCAGTGTCCTGACACTTGAATGCCCATTTGTGGCTGATAAACTTGAAGCTTCACTTAGGCATTTCCACTTCCAGAAACTAATAAAATACGTGTTATAGGGTGGAACAAAAGGTTACTATATTTGCATACTTTCCAAGTAGACTAGTCAATAATATAGGGGGGAAATGTTTGCTTAAATTGAAATAATGGGAAAATTAGTAATTTTTTTTGCTGTGTATTTTTTCTGAGTCAATATGAATTTTATTTACACACATTTATCCAAGTCTGTATAAACCAAAACATACCTATGTTTTAAAATGTCCATTATTACAAACATACAAAGAAATGGAAGGTGTTACCAAAAGTTACTCAATTTCATGGTAAAAATGCTGTCATGATTTTTTTTTTTAAAAAAAATCAATATTTCAAGACTGAGGTTTACTCTTTACAGTTCAGGAGCTCATGGTAGTTTAGAAAATGTTGATTGCTGTGCATTTTTAAGGAGGACATAAACTACTTCAAAATTTGATCATAAAATAAGATAGGAGTGTTATAGTGAATGTGGGGTCATCCTGGTCTACATAACAATCAAGTTAGCAGTTATTACCTAGCTGTAGCCTATTTCAAATAAACTAAGAGTGGCTGGAGAGATGGCTCTGTGGTGAGGTGCACAGGCTGCCCTCTAGAGGACCTAGGTTTAATTCCCAGCACCCCAACGCGGAGATTCAAAACCATCTGTAACTCCAGTTCCAGGGGGCCCAATGTCCTCTTCTGGCCTCATCAGGTATCAGGTACACATATGCAGCAGACATAGATGCAGGCAAAACACCACTCATAAAACAAAAATTTTAAAAGTTAAAAATGGAAAAAGGAAGATGGGGGGGGAATACAGAGGCAGAGGCAAAGAGTTTGGGAAGACAGTATAATACAACGACCTTCTGAGACCTATAGCTTGTTATTCACTCAAACTTTATTGAACTTTATTAAAATAGCCCTTGAGATTTTTTTCCTATGTTCAACTGTTAAATTCTATGACTAACAAGATATAATCCCCCAAAGGGGAACCCATTTACTTTGAGAATATCAGGAACTCAATATATAGTTCAGAGAGTTGTGGAAACTTGGAATCCTTCTCACTAGCTTCCCAAGTAGGATTATATGCTCTTGGACCACGCCCAATAATAAATGATATTCATAGGGTATCTCAGCCCAGAGCATGGCTGATCACCCAAGACAACACAGACTCAGTGAGTGAGATTGACACATTAAAATTGGCACATTAAAATCAAGATCTCTTTTAATGAAATTTATTTCCCAAATCTTACTATTTCTTAAATTTTGATTTGAACAAAGAAATGTTCCCTCAAGCCTTCCAATGCCAGGAGTTCTCTCAATTCATTCTCTTAAGTGCCACCAAAGTGATAATGGAGACCTCATAAATTCTAAACTTTAATACCCTCAGTGAGTTCTTTCATTATTATAAAAGGATGACTGAAAGATTTATAAGATTCTCTGCATGTCTTAGTCACTGTTCAATTGCTGTGAAGAGGGTAGCTCTTATAAGACAAATCATTTAATTGGGGGCTTTTTTTTTTTTTTTAAGTTTCAGAGACTTAGTCCATTATTTCATGGCTGGGACTGTGTACTTGAGCAGTAGCTGAGAGCTCCACCCTGAACTATAAGCAGACAGAGAAAGAGTGACTGGATCTGGCACAAGCTTTTGAAACTTCAAAGCCCACTACCAGTGTCACACTTCCTTTAACAAGGCCACACCTTCTAATTATTATAATTCTTTCCAACACTTCTACTCCCTGGCAATTGAACATTCAAATATATAAATATATTTGAAGCATTCTTAGTCAAACCAGCAAGTTATATATGAAGTGTTTCTCCTCAAAATGACTACCACTGTGTCTTTTGAGGACCCCTAAGAACTAAATGCTATCTATAGATACTAAAATCCACATGGATTCAAAAGAATAGTTTCTCTACAATCGTTTGACATTTTCCCATATTGATAGCCTAAGTTGTTCCATGTTGTTTGATTTCTTGAGAACTACACAAGAGAAGACTTTCTCATGCTATTTGCAAACATCCTTATTTGCTCTACTATGAACTGGTGCATGTCTTCGCAAATGAGTTGAACTGGAAAAGCCTCTCCCACAAGTCTTACATTGATAGGGTCTCTCACTATTGTGGATTCGTTCATGGACTCGAACCTCAAAAAATCGACGAAAAGCCTTCCCACATTGCTTGCATTCATAGGGTTTTTCTTCACTATGCATTATTTTATGTTTTCGAAGAGAACTGTCAGAACTGAAAGCTTTCCCACATTGCAAACACACATAGGGCTTCTCTCCAGAGTGATTCCTTTCATGGCTCTGAAGGGATGATGAAGAAGCTAAATCCTTTCCACACTGCTTACACTTGTAGGGGTTCTCTCCAGTATGCATTCTTTTATGGAATTGGAAGGAACTGTGATTATTGAAAGATTTCCCACATTGCTTGCATATATAGAGTCTCTCTCCAGTGTGAGTACTTCCATGTCTTTTAAGGTTACCAGAACTACCAAAGGTTTTCCCACAGTGCTTACACACATAGGGCTTCTGACCAGTGTGAATTCTTTCATGTGTTTTTAGGGAGCTGGAATAAGTAAAGCCTTTTCCACAATGCTTACAAACATAGGGATTCACACCACTGTGAATTACTTTATGCTTCTGAAACTGATACCAAAACGTGAAGGAATTCCCACATTGCTTACATACGTAAGATTTTTCCCGAGTGTGAGTCAGTTCATGTGATTTAAGGTAACGAGAAGCAGTGAAGGCTTTCCCACATTGCTTACATACGTATGGTTTTACACCAGTGTGGATCCTTCTGTGTATTCGAAAGTAAGTAGAATCAAGGAAAGTTTTCCCACACTGCTCACACACATAGGGCTTCTCACTACTGTGAATTCCCATACGTCTTCGAAGGCAAGCAGAATGAGAAAAAGTTCTCCCATAATGATTAGGCAGAAAAGGATTCTCACCTGTGTCAGTTGTTTGATGTCTTAAAAGGTTACCAAACCGAGCAAAGCCTTTCCCACACAGTTCACACACATAGGGCTTCTTAACACTGTGACTCTTTTCATGTCTTTGTAAAGGACTGGGATGGGTGAAGCCTTCTCCATATTGCTTGCAAATGTAAGATTTTTTTGCATGGTCATATTCTTCATTCCTTTGACTATGACTAGATTGGATAGATAGACGGTCTTCTTTGCAGGCTCTACTTTTAAAAGGTTTATCTCCAGGGTGAGCACTTTTATGCATCTGAAGGGACAGAGGAGAACTAGGGCTATCATCAAATTCCTTATGTTTATACAACTTCTGTCCACATTCCTGGACTTCATGAGGTTTGTGTCCTATCTTGTGGTTCAGGGGCATAACTGGAGATGAATGGTCAATGCTTCCTTCTCCACACACATGCTTTTCACATGTGGCAAGTCCTGGACAAGATTTCAGGTTCACAGAAAGCTCTGGAATACAACTGAAGATTTCTGTACATTGAAGATTTTCTTTACAAACATAGAATTGCTCTACCAGTTGGCTGCTGCAAAACAAATGAAGAGTACATGACTAAGACTTTATTAAGGATTGCACAAAAGAAATGTTGGTTTCATGCTGGGAAGAACTTTGTAACATGCTTGAACTATTGTGCTTTCCAAGACCACTTGAGGACAGCTACAATAGAAACAATAGTACTCATGAATGGTGGGGTATGTCTCCTTGAGAACATTAAATATTCACAAGAATTTCAACACAAACTTCAATCCACAATCTTATGTGGATGTACAATGGTATCAATTAAAATAACCTGTTTAGTTTGTTTTTGTAAATACTTGCATGTGCATGAAATAAACTGACAACTTTCAACTTGTTCCCATGGCTTGTGGATAAATCAATGTGCTCATTTACTGTGTTTGTGAGTGTGCGTGTGTACTATGGTACATGGAGGAGCTCAGGACAGCTTTCAGGAGTACTGTTTCCTTCCATGTCAGTGAAGCAGGGTCTCTCTTAGCAGTACAGGGATTACAGATATGTGTTGTTTTATGTGAGTTCTGGAAATTGAACTCAGGCCATTATGATCGCAAGGCCAGCCCTAATATCAGCTAGGTAATTTTTGGTCCCCTGAATACTATTTGAAATGATCAGTTTTGCTCTGGTTAGTTTTCTGTCACTTGACACAATGTAGAATTATCTTTGAGGAGTACTCTCAGCTGAGAAAATGACTCATTTAGATTGTCTAGATTGTCTTTAGTTAAATCTGTGAAGGCATTTTTATTATCAATCATCACTATGGGAGAGACTAGCCAAATGGGGGTGGTATTGCTCCCAGGCACCAGCTGGTCCTGATTTTATAAGAAAACAGTCTGAGAAAGCCCTGGAGAGCAAGTCAGTAAGGAGTTTCCCCCACAGTCTTTGTTACAGTCCCTGTCTCTGGGCCCCTGTCCTACCTTGAGTTCCAGCTTTGGCTTCCCTTAATGATACACTGTGACCAGAACACTTAAGTCAAATAAAGCCTTAGCTCTGTGTACATAAAAGAAAACGGAGCCTCAGTTACAGTGGACACCACATCATATTGGTGATCCCAGGAGGGTAGGACAACTACCCAGGGTGGTATGTGATGATGTGGAACTGGCCTGAGCCTGAAGGCTATCTGCATGTGCTGCTAGTAACAGAGTTGGGAAGTGGAGCTCCCAAGAACTTGGGAACCCAGGAGATGGCATGTCAGTTCCAGATGTGGCACACTCGTAAGAAAGTACATAGCTTATTATTATTTTTTAAATACTGCAGGGGCCCACAGTTCGGTAACTATTGACTTGGGAAAGAAACACTGAGTTTGTAAGGAGAACTTGGATTTTTTAACTGTTGAAATTATTTAAAACTGTTTTATTTTAAATTGTGATACAATAGTAACATGATATCTTGTAGACAACCAGAAAGGACAGGTTATGGTTAATACTGAGGTGTTTCCATGTAGTGAAGACAAGGAATCAATTTTGCTGGTTAGTATTTTGTCAGCTTGACACAATCTTAATAAAACTTTAAGTTGAGAAAATGTCCCCCTTAAACTGGGTTGTAAGCAAGCCTGTGGAGCATTTTCATGATTGATAATCAATGTGAAAGTGTCCACTGAGGGCTGTGCCATTCCTGGGAAGGGGATCATGAAGCATATAAGAAAACAAACTGAGCAAGTCATGGGGAACAAGACAATAAGCAGCATTCCTCTATAGCCTCTGCCGTTAATTCATGCCCAGAGCTTCTTGTTTGAGTTTATGTCCTGACTTCCCTTGATGATGGACTTCAAACTACAAGGTGAAATTAACCCTTTCTACTCCAAGTTGCTTTGGCTCATGGACTTCAGCCCAGCAATACAAAAGAAACTAAGACACTCTGTATGGCATGAAGTTTGTATATATGAACTATGATGACACATTGCATGTGACATTATCATATTCTAGTTGTTCTCAAGACTGCAACATTTGGCATCTTCTAGTGCTGATGTTTAAGACATGCATTTTAGGAAAAATTTTCTTGATATGATAATGGTTTGATGCTGGATATCGAATGCATCTTTTACTACTTTGTAAAATGTTCTTGTATACCAGTACTCTGGAATATTGCTATCTCTTGGGAATCAAATTACCTTAGTTTTCTCCAGAGATCTTCATATTCATTTACAATCTTCTGGTTTTTCAACTTGTTTTCTAAAATATAGAATAATAGAAATAGTCAAGACACATTAGTAACAGAAAAATATTAGATAACAACTAAATAGAAGGTATAAGTGATTCCACCTGACATATTCACCCCCATTCCCCTTTCTATAATCCAATTCATACATCAACACTTGTCCTGTGATGGACTAAAAGGGCCATGCTCATGTGTACCTAGAGAAGTCAGGTTCCTCAAGGTTTCCTGCATCACATCCTTGTACAGCTTCTTCTGGGATGGATCCATCATAGCCCACTCCTCCTGGGTGAACTTTACAGCCACATCCTCAAAGCTCACTGACTCCTAAAAGCACACACATGTAATTATTTTATTTTAAAGTGTGTTACATTTGTGTATGGTGTGGAACATTTGTTAGATTGATGCAAAGATGTACTGCATTCCTTTATGTCTTATTTGCCTAACTCTGTGAAGCTGTGATTCTTTGCCTGTTTAAAACACCTGATCATCTAATAAAGAGCTGAACAGCCAATATCAATGTAGGAGAAAGGGCACGTGGGGCTGGTAAGCAGAGAGAATAATAGAAGAAGGAGCAAGATAGAACAGGGAGAGGAGGATGTCAGGGGCCAGGCACCCAGCCACACACAGCCGACATGGAATAAGAAGAAAAGATATACAGAAATAGAAAAAGGTAAAAGCCTAGAGGCAAAAGATAAACTAGATAATTTAAGCAAAGCTTAAGTAATGCCCTGTGCAGCTACATCATACACTGCATGGCTACACAAAGCATTGTGTGGCTGCATAAGGCTCTGTAGAAGTGTTCAAAGCTTCCCTTTAAGATAGCTCTGCCTGCCTCTCACTCTCTCTTCAGTCCCTTTCCCAGTCCCTCTTTCACATCCCCTGCCTCCCCCTTCCACCCAATCTTCCTAATATACTCCCACATGGATTTGTTGTACTTTGTGATTCACGTATGGCTCCTGCCACTAAACTACTTTTGGTGTCATGAGTCTGCCAGGCTCTCTACATAGTCCCTCCTGCCCACCCATGGGAGGTCGGTCTGAGGCACAAGGGAACCCTGCATGACCCGAATGACAGCCCACTTTCCAACTACCCATCTGCTGGGCTACTCCACATAACAATGGCTACAATTGGTGAGATCCCATCCTACTGGTTGGTGTAAACACTCCCTGGATCCACAGGAATGACAGTTGATTGCCCAAAGTTCTGCCTGATGTTCTTGGAAACTGTGGTACATCTAGCTACCACCTTCAAGGCTACAACTGGCCCCTTTCATGACAATCACCTGCCGAAATTTCCCATGACTGAGTCTTTTTTCATTGCTACACACCTTTAACCCCAGCACTTGGGAGGCAGAGGCAGGTGGATCTCTGTGAGTCGAGACAAGCCTGATCTAGTTCCAGAACAGGCTCCAAAGTGACACTGAGAAACCGTGTCTCAAAAACAAACAAACAAACAAAACTACCCTCCCCCAAAAAACCTCAAAAGCCATTGGATCTTTCTGCCTCACTCATGGGAAACAAGCTGACAACAAGTGCAAGTCCATCCACTCCTCTGGGATGTCTTCTAGAAAAATCTAAAACCTCCACACTTAATGCTACAGGTAAAGGCTTCTAGACTCACTTGCCTCTGTATTATAAAATTGCCCAAATTTCCCCTAGACAACAACTCAAATTGGCTGCCTAACTGTTTTTTAGATCCTGAGTTTTATGGGACCTTTCTAACTTCTACCCATTCAATGGTCTTGAGTTCACTTTTCAGGTCTCCCAAACCCTATCTAAAGCTCTCAACATCTCTTGGCATTTTCTCACCCCATATCACCCCTAGTTCTTAGGATAGGTAGAATGAACTAAGTGTTCCTTAAAAAACACTTGTTAAAATGTCACAGGAACTCTACCTTGACTGGGTAAAGCTCTTGCTGCTGACTCTTTTCAAGCTCCAGGCTCTCCCCCTATGACCCCTTTTCCATCTTGCCCTTTGAAGTCATGTATAGGTAGCTGGTTCTAACCCTGGTCTCTCACCTAAACCCTCACCTCTCCTTGATCACCTACTCATTCCATTACTGTATCATCTCTTATGGAACTTTCTGACTACACCCTACCTGACCATGTACCAACCCCTGTCCATCTCCAACATCAGGAATCTGGTCCTTCTCTCTTATCCAGAGCAATGCCCCTCACCCTTTTTTCCCTAAATGGCATGCCCCCTTCAAAAATAATTCTTATAACTCCAACAGCTGCTAAGCTTGAAGGCTTTCCTCATTGGAATCACTTACCTCATCTCAAACTCGTTTTTTTTTTTTTTTTTTTTAAATTTTATGCTTTGGCAATGAATATGATCAACATTAATGCTGCAAATATGATTCAAATTGCCATTTTATTTTATTTTAAATTATGAGTATGTATATGGTTTTAGTGTACTTGAGTACAGGTGCCCAAGCAAGCCAGACATTGGATTTCTCCAGAGCAGAAGTTCCAGGTACTTTTGAATTGCCATGTGGATACTGGGAACTGAATCTGAGCCTTCTAAAAGAATAGTATTGGTTCTTACCCACTGAGCCCATCTCTCCAACACTCATCTCAAATCCTTTACCCCTTTAACTCAAGCTCATCCTTGAGGTGGAGCAACTCCAACAAGGCCCTGCTATCTTAAGTTTCAAAGGACACTGAAGTCAACCCTCCAGTTTCAGAAGAATGAGGCTTCACTCCACAACAGTACTCTGCCAGATTGGGAACTCCATATGCTCTCTGGGAACTCCATATGCTCTCCTTTCTGATCTCTCTTCCTACCCCAACTGGCCCCGGACTGGTCCATGTTCTCCTGTTTCTACTAATTATACCCTGCTTCATCAATCTCCTCTCCATGTATCCCCAATGACTTACTCAAAGCTTCTAATCAATACCAATTACCTGTTGTTACAGGACTACCAGCTGTGAGCCACAGAGCTGGAGGTGCAAGACTATCAAACATGCCTGGGTGGTAAGAGATAATATCCCAGATATATCCACACCCTAGACTCAAAAACAAGACCCACAAAACAGATTTTAATACAATGCTTTACTATTATCAGCCCTCAGAAACCAACCACCTGTGTCTCTCAAGTGTTAAGTTGATGCCATGATGATAGGGGAAGGAACAGGTGCTTTAAGGTTTGCTTATGTAAAGCTAAAAAGCTAGGGTTGGAGAGATGGCTCAGTGGCTAAGAACACTTGCTGCTCTTCCAGAGGTCCTGAGTTCAATTCCCAATGACCACATGGTGATTCATAACCATTTATAATGAAATCTGGTGCTCCCTTCTAGAATAAAGGAGTACATGCAGATGGAGCACTCATACATTAAAAATAAATAAAATCTTTTAAAAAGATAAAAATCTAATTGGTAATAAGAAAAAGTGATTTTAGATGTTCAAAGAGTGAAACATGTTCCAGGTCCTTCCTCTCTCTCTCTCTCTCTCTCTCTCTCTCTCTCTCTCTCTCTCTCTCTCTCTCTCTCACACACACACACACACACAGTATAAAGACTCCTAAGTTCATAGTCTTAACATTAATTGATAAAGTCCTGATAAGCTATTAATCTAGCAAAATACTACCAGTATGTGAGTACACAAGTGGACTTCAATACAAATTACAAACAGTGGAAATGCTAATGTGACAAACTCAAAAAGTCCTTGTAAGTTCCAGGAAGTTGACTTGGATTCACTTCCAAACAGGTCAGATGCACTCCAGAATAGTGTCAATCAACAGGCAAAGCCTCTCCACCTTTCCATGGCCTTTCCCTGGTCTTGACAGCCCTCTCCCTCAATTACCAGGACCTAAGAATTTTTTTCCCCCTAAATTTAACTTTATCTTCTGCTCTGACAGCATCTGGACAGGTCCAAGAAAAACCGGATGTTCCACATGGTCTGGACAGCAGTGAAACCACCAGCTACCCCAAGACATGGCCAGCACCCAAAGATGATCAATGTCCCCTAAGTCAATGGAGGCAATCTTGATAACCCAGTGCCCACATCCCTGCCCCACCTGGTATCTCCTTTAATTCCTCACCTTTTAAATAAAGGTGAGAATAATAAAAAAGGTGGGAATGTTAGGATCCAGGCATTATGCTGCCCCACTTCTGTAAGCTGGCAGGATGCGCCTACTGGCATTCAGGCAGACACTTAGCCCAGTGGTTCCACAGTTGTACATCACCATGTAATGTACTGTGCGGCTACACCATATCTAACACATTGTGTGGCTGCATAAGGCTCTGCACGCATGCGCAAAGGTCCCCTTTTAGCCTGCTCACTCACTCACTTCAATTCCTTTCTCAATCGATCGCCACAGCTCCTTCGTTCAAGCCCCCTTCCTAATAAACTCCAACCTGGGTTTTTTTGTACTCCATGATTCATTTATCAACACTGCTGCTAAACAACTACTCGTATGGTACCTAACTCCAGCTCCCATGCTCTCTTCTGGTTCCAAGGGGACTGCACACACGGTGCAAAGACATTCATGCAGGTAAAGAACTCATAAACAAAACAAACTATTTGAAAGAAGTTTTAAAAATGTTTGTCTTATAGGTATAAAAGACAAATAGGAGCTGGAGAGAACCCAGTGTTTAAGAACCTTGTTGCTCCACCAAAGGACCTGAGATCAATTCCAGACCCATACAGGCAACTCACAACTGCCTGTAACTCCAGCTCCAGAGGGATAAAATGCCTCTTACCTATTTGGGCACCCACACTCATGTGCACATGCTTACACAAAGACACAAACATACATGTCATTAAAAATTAAAATAACATTAGTCGTGGTGGCACATACCTTTAAGCTCAGCAGGAGGAGCTCTGTGAGTTTGAAGCCAGCCTGGTGCAAAGTGAGTTATAGGATAGCCAAGGCTGTTACAGAGAAACTCTGTCTCAAAAAAACCACACACACACAGAGTAAATACATCTTTAAGAAAAATAAGGGTATTTCAGGGACAAGAAAGATGGCTCATTGGCTGAAAGGGCTTGTTGCTTTTCTAACTGATCAGACTTGGTTTCTCAGCACTCATACAGAGTGGCTTAACTGTCCATAACTCTAATGACAGCCATCCAACACCCTCTTCTGGACTCCTTGGGAACCTACACACATGTGCAGGCAGACACGGAGGCAGGCAGATAGACAGACACACACCACAAACATACATATAAATAAAAATAAATCTTTTAATTTTTCATATAATACATTCTGATCATATTCTTTCCCCCCTCAACAACTCCTTTCAGAGCCTTTTCAACTCCCTATCCATCCAACTTTATGTCTCTTTCTCTCTTTAGCAAAAAAAGGGGGGAAATCAAAACCAAACAAACAATAAAAAAATACACAGAAAACATGGACTCAAACTCCCTCCTTCTCAAGGCTCAGGGATCTATACAGAAGAGAAGGTGGAAAAACTTGTTTTTTAAAGAGCCAAAGATACTGGACGTCAAGGAACCTACGTCTTCCAGACACAACAGGACTGATGATGGACACATGAACTCGGAGAGACTGCGACAGCATGCACAAGATCTGCACAGGTCTAAGCCAGAAAAGATTACAGCATGGAGAACAAGGATGCACAGTGTCCTACTTCTAATCCAGCAGCTATTTGCAAATGATACCTACCAAGAGAGGGAAGATCACTTCTCTGCAATGGAGTGACTTTGGGTATAAAAACTACACTCCAGGGCATCCCCCATGTTCAGGAATTGCTGAACAATTGTACAGTGAGTGAGAGACTCTGGAGCACTTAGCCATAAAAATGAAAAAGAATTATTACAAGAAAAATAAAAAAAGGGATATTCTAAAAGGTACAGGGGAAGTGATTATAGACACAAGAACAAAGCTATTTCTGAAGCTGGATAGTAAGTTGCTTCGCTGAAAGTATCTGCTAACTCAGAGAAAGCACCAGGGAAAGAAAAACAGGATGTGCTCGTTTTTCCTACTAGGGAAAGACAAGAGCTTTGCATGCTTAACAAAAACTGAAATCACTGTTCTAAGAGATAGGTCTTTGGGCTGCAGAGATGGCTCAGTGGTTAAGAAGCTTGCTGCTCTCTGACCCAGGTTCAAATCCCAGCACCTCCTACAGGTGGCAACTCCATGTATTATTATCTGCTGATTCTGTGTTTCTAATGTGGGACAACATGTATTGCAAACACCCTTCCTAATCCATTGTTTTCAATCACAACAGGGCTTTGCAAATACAAACTTTTAGCTTCAACAGTAAACACCTAAACTGATCAGAAGACAGACAATACTTAACTAAGTAGATTTTGTTTTTGTTTTCTTCATGCTCTAGGCCAGGGATCACTGACCAACACCCAGTCTGATCCTAAAGCTGCCTGTTCCTCATCATAACCCCAAAGACAGGATGGCCTCAGAGAAAACTGCTTTCTGATGAAGCAGCTGATGGGAATGATACTCTCTATCTTACCAGATCCCCACCATCTCTTTCCTTCTGTTTACCCATATTTAGCACTGTTTCCTCTACCCTAAGAGAGAACAACCTTCTTCAGCTAACTCTAGAGAAGCCTGAGGACCTACCACTAGGGGCTTGCTCCTTATTGCAACACTCCTTGGCCTAGCTCTATCACAGATTTGCATCTTAAAACATTTAGAAAAAAATCTAGGTAAATATAAAAAATGTAAAACGTAAAATGTAAAAAGTGTAAAAAAAATGTAAAATATGTAAAAAATCCAGGTAAAGGTAAAAGTGGTGCACACCTTTAGTCCCAGCAGAGGCAGGCAATCTCTGTGAATTCAAGGTCAGCTTGGTCTACAAAGTGAGTTCCAGGAAATCTAGGGCTGTACCATAGAGAAACCCTGTTTCAAAGAACAAAACAAAACAAAAAACCCAAAACAAACAAAAACTAAGAAAAGAGACAATTATGAGAGGCCAAGTCCACTCATCCATCCCTTTTCAGTGAGTTTGACAATATCAGAAACACTTGGAATGTCAGAGATTCCTAAGAATTCTGGGCCCAAGGGAAAAGATGATAGAATTGAGAGCAAACTCTGTGACACTCCTAGAGACAATGAGGGGAGAGTGGGCGGGGACTGCTCCTGGTTACTCTTGTGCAGATTATCACCTCTGTGCAGAGCTTAGCCTGCAATCTTGATCTGATTTGTACACAGTATCCGGATCAGGAAAGGGACTCTGTTTACAGAAGAACAGCTTGTTTACCTGAGTAAACACCCATCATCTGCCAGCACACCAAGAGCCATTACCTATGTCAGTAACACCACCTGAAAATATACCAAATCATACCAGATATGCCAGAGGTGGGAGCTTTTGATCCACACTGATGGAACCCCTTACCTGAGACTGAAAGGCCAACGTGTGGCCAGCATGAGTCATGGCAGGGTCAGGTGTCAAAGCCAGGAAACTTCTGAACTCCTTGCTAACCATGTCCCACCCCAACCTTGCTCCAGCACTTTCTTCATGGCCAAACACTCAGCCCACTTCAAACCAACCATCCAACAGCCTCTGCATCTCCACACCTGCTGCTGAGACTTCTCATCTGGTCCCTTCAGACTTCCCCTTGGGTTCAGCCCAGCTCTCTGCTGGTGACTTCAGGACAGACTCTGATCTCTGTGGTCTCTTTAAAACCATTTGCTAGCCATTCTGTGACCTGAGCTGTCTATCATTGTGTGGCATGTCAATGTATGATCTGCTGGTTAATGTTAGTGATTCAAACTGGGATCAAAGGGGCAGGTATGGTTGTGCACATCATTCATCCCAGTACCTGGGAGGCACAGCCAGGCATCTCTGTGAGTTCAATGCCAACCTCCTCTACCTACATAGGTACAGGCCTATGTCTTTCAATAAACAAACAAATAACAACAAATTTGGGATAAAAGGCCAAGCTTGGTGGCACATTACCTTTTAGCACCAGGGGCCAGTCAGGCAGATCTTTCATCAACTCAATATATATATATATTGAGTTCCAGACCAGGAAATACTACATTGTGAGACTCAGTCTCAAAACACAAACAAGTTAGAATACTGGAATAAAAGCACTTGCATTGCCACTGCCCAGGTAGGAAGCAAAGTCAGGCTTATTTGGCAAATCACCATCACCACTACCATCAATGCTGATGAATTTGAGTAGTCAATAAATTCTGACACCATGCCCTGCCTGATAGAACTTAGGATAGTCTAAAGACACTGAAACTTCTAGAAGACCACTCCTTGCATCGATGGTGGAAGAAGGGACCAGACTTCACCTGGGACTGCGGATGGGCCTTACATGGCTAAGACTGATGACCTGGGAGAAGGGTCGGAGAAAAGTATCATTTCTATTGGGGGAGGAGGGGCTTTGATTTCTGTGTAAGACCAAAGGAGGAGAGATGTATTTTGTGCAAAATTTAAATTTTATGCGCTCCACTATCTATTGTAACCTGTCTGGTGAGTTTGTTTGGACAGCCTAACTCATTTCTATATGAAATGGAATCCAGAATGGGAGGTGAGCTCTTGTTAGTCTGTGCCAGTTGGTATTTTATCCCCATATATTTGAGGAGATCCTGGGCATAAAATGAAAGATACTTTCCATGCCCTTTGTGGGCTGGGAAGGAAAACTTGGAACTATCTGCAATGGACCCTAAACTTCGAGGAAGAGGAGTCCTCAAGGTTCATATGTAGTCAAGCTATAAGTGTATTGAGTAGCAGACCTGAGAAGCAACCCCTACCATATTTGAAAAATAAAATCTTACATGTTAATAAAAGTATTCGTTTGCTTGAAAAGATAAATAAACTCAGAAAATTATTAAGAAAAAAAAAAGACACTGAAACAATGGACCACCCACCCACCCTCCCCACCTCACCCAGTGTTCAAACCCTCTATCAAGCTAGAGGGCTGACACACACACACACACACACACACACACACACACACACACTGACTGCTCCCAAGAAATTTATTTTCCTAAAGCTTGGCATATAGACAAAAGCCAGTATTCCCTTAGGAAGGGAAGGTAAATATAAAGTGTCCACAAAAGCTTGGTTTTTCCCCACCTTAAATGCAGCTTAAATGCAGGTTGTTTAAAAGCCTCAGGCCATGAGGAATTGAGACAGGCTGTGCTGGCAATAGCCTAACCATGAAACTGCTCAGTATGAGCCTGCCCAGGTACCTCTTCTCCTGCAGCTCAATATATCTTTCTAGAAAGCAGCCCCACTCTGCTCCTGGTCAAACCAAAAAAAAAAAAAAAAAAAAAAAAAAAAAGTAACTTCTTGATGGCTACCTTTCTGCATATACAAGTCCCTCACATCTTCTCATGTAGTTTCTCAAAACCTGAGTCTTGAACCCTTAGGGGTGGAAGGGCACAGGGGCCCCCTATCAGATATCCTGCATACCAGATATTTACCTTAGGAGTCACGACAGTAGGAAAATGACAGGAAGTAGCAAGGAAAATAATTTTATGCTTGGAGGGGACAAAACATGAAGAAATGCATTACAGGGCTGAAGCATTGGGAAGGTTGAGGACCGGTGCCCTAAGGGCATTCAGTCTTTGTTCCGGAAAGGTTGGTGCCCCTCGCTACTCCAATAAATCGGTCTCAGTCAAGTGAGATAAGAGTTTGTCTCATTTTATCTTTCCTTTCCATTGAGAGTCACAGGTGCTCTGGAACACTGCATGTGGTGTGACGGGATTTTCCGGGAAGGACGAGGCAGTTATAGAACCAGTGTCCCAACATAAGCAACTCCACCTTCATCCACCCGCATTTGAGGACCTGTCCAACTCCCAGGGCTTATGGTTCCCCAAGATCTTCTGGCGACACAGCCCAGACCACAGAGCCGCGGGCTGTGGGCGCCCCACTGACACAGCACGCCGCAGCACTGAGCGCTCTGTGACAGACAGGACCGCGGCTCTGCATGCTGAACCGGCACCACCCAATCGAATCCGGAGCCAGAGGAGACTCAGCTGCCTTGGAAGGCCGGTTTTCACTGCAGCCTCTGTGTGCAGCATCCCTCCTCCCCACATTCTAGATGCGGGCCGAACATACCATTTCCAGCCACGGAGTGTCCTGGTGTCCTCCTGTCGCTCCTGCTGTCAGTGAAGTGGGTTTTGATTTCTAGGACTGGAATCTAGGACGTACTTGTTAGGAGCACAACTTGCCTAATGTTGAGGGTTAAGGAAACAGACCTAGGTCAGGCAAATTCCCTCACCTAAGAAGCGTACTCCTCATTGGTCACTTCAGAGACTAAAGTAATAACCTTTATCCTGATAGGCCAGAGAGCCCTTGGCTCAGGTCCTGGAGCTTTAGTGACAGGAGACACAAGTTTTCCTAGGACAAGTAGGGAGCAAATTACACACTCTAGGCCCTATCTTTCTATCCGTGTCTGGGGGAAAGTGCTCTAAACATAATTTTTTTCTGGCCTCCACTTGCTCTTAACAAACAATTACTACTTCTTCCTCCTCAGAATGGAATGACAGCAAGAGTTTAGAGAATTCCATACTCAATGACCATGGAAACAATTCAAAGGGTTGGCTTCAACAAACTGGTCCAGCTGAATAAAGAGGGAGGGGCTCATTAAAGGAAATTCCCTGCTCCTGTCACCCCATAGCCCACATACCCAGAACCAACCTGTCCAAGACTTCGGGAAATCTTCTACCCAAGGAATGTACAAAAACAAGCAATCTGGTTTACCTTTCACCCTGCAATTTTCAGAGGAGGAGAAAAAAAAAAAAAAAAAAGAAAACCAGTTTTTGGGCCTGTGGTGGTGAGTTCAGGTTTGGCAGCCTCAGTTTTTCAGACCAAAAGTCTGACTCGATCTGTTTTACTCAGGGCTCTTTAATGTAACAGAACACACAAACACACACACGTGTACATATGTGTGTGTGTGTGTGTGTGTGTGTGTGTGTGTGTATGGTTTTAGGGGATTTATTTAAATGATTTACAGGCTGTGGTCTAGCTAACCCAACAATGGCTAGCTATGAACAGAAAGTCCAAGAATCCAGTAGTTGCTCAGTACACAGACTGAATTTCTCAGTTGGTCTTTGGTAGATGCTGGAATCCCAAAGAAGTAGGCTCCAATGCCAGCGAAGGAATAGACTTGCCAGCAAGACGAGAACAAGCAGGCTTCCTTCTTACGTGTCCTTACATAGACTTCAAACAGAAGTGGTAGCTCAGATCAGGTCTGGGTTGAAGGTGGGTCTTCCTGTCTCAAGATCTAGATTAAAAGCCTGTCTTTTCTCAGCTCAAAGCAAACAACCAAAAACCCACATTATAGGTGTGCTTTCCTACCCAAAAGATCCGGATTAGATGTAGTGAAGTTGATAACCAAAAATAGCCATCACACACTGTTTCAAGGTCAAACTGAGTCTAGTTTTTCATTGTCCTTTGCTGACTTATTTCTTATTACATTGGTATTTTCTCACCCCAGAATTTGGGATGAGGGAAGTTCCCAAAGCTTTCTCAATCCCATATTCAGCCCATAAAATCGCACAAACAAAAAAATGACAATTATTCCAGTCAGGGAGAAAATGGAATTTATAGTGAAAAACTGATTCAAAATAATAGCAAAAAAATCACACACATTAAAAATTAGACTCTTAATGTGGTGGTAGGTACAGGCCTTTGTCCCATGCACTTGTGAGGACTTGGGATAGTCCTGAGCTCTGTGAGTGCAAGGCCTGTTCTACCTAGTTAGAGCTATCTAGTTAGACCTTGCCTCAAAAAAAAAAAAAAAAAAAAAAAAAAAAAGACCATGACTACTCAGTTTGATGGCATGAATGATGCTGTAACAGGGTCCCAGACTTTTCTTGATCCCCAGAACTTTGTACAACTAAGTCCATGATGAAAGTACCATTCAGGCTGTAAAACTCAGCATATACACAGTACCACCAAAGTCTGTAGTTTTGGTAAAGTTTCTAAATATACTATCCTTGCTTTTTGGCTAACTGTTCTTACTAACTAAAATATATCAACACAGGACATGGTTTTTGTGTGTAAAAGCTCACCCTGAGAAAAGCTTGGGACTATACTGGGATCCCGCTAGCTGACTACTAAAGATGCTCTGTTAGCTTAAACCATGTCTGAGCAGTCTTCACTGGTAGATACCCCACAACAGTGTCTCCTACAAACATTTACAACTGACCTTCCAATGAATGACACATGGCACCTGATCCTAAATGTCAAGTATAAACAGACTAATGGGTGCTAGAAAATCCAGCCTCTCCCTCTCAAATACAGACTCTAGCTGGAAAGATGGCTCAGTGGTTAAGAGCACTGGCTGCTCTTCTAGAGGACCTGAGTTTGATACCTAGCAACCATATGGTGGCTCACAATCATCTCAGTTGGATCTGATGCCCTTTTCTGGCATAAAAGCATATATGTAGATAGAGAACTTATACATAAAATAAATAAATAAATATTTAAAAAAACAGATACTATACAAATGGTCTAGCAGGAAGACTAAATACCCTCTTACTCAACTGCTATAAAAATCTCCCATATCCTCTCAATAATGCAATGAATTTTGTTCTCAGGCAGTCAGCTGGGTTGCGCAGCAGTGTATTTAATAACTTGTCTAATATTCTACTTTTATCTTTGTTAGGTCCAAAGCAGCCCCTCAAAAATGGCAGTGCTGGTCACAATGTCCTAAAAGAAGGACTTTGGGTGAATAGTCAGAAGGACTTTTATTGAGTAGTGTAGACTTGCTCCTGTTTACCAGAGGAACATATCTCCTAAGGCAGGTTTCCATTTGTCAGAGACATCTTTTAATCCATCCCAAAAATCAGCTACCCTGGGCAGGTACATTTACTTTCCGGTCAATCGCAACAACTCAAAGACACCCACCTGTGGGCTGTCATATAATGCCTGTTTACTTTAACTCAATTTTGCTTCTGTCTTCCCCCAACCCTGAGAGACAGCCTTAGCTGTGCAATCAATATTGTAATTTAAAAATCAACGAGAGAGACAGATGCCATGTGACAGAGCTCACATGGAGGTGTTTCTTAATTTTTGGAAGGGAATTGGAACGGGGTGAGGGGGAGTGGAAGGGGAATTCAGTTTCTGGGGACAGGAGTGGCAGAAGAGGGAAGGGGGAGAGGGAATGAGAGGGAGAGAGGGGAAAAGGAGAGAGAGAAGAGAGGTGGATAAGGCCGACCTTTTAAAAGGGAATGTAGAGAATCTGCAGAGGAGTTGCTCTTAGTGGCTGCAGCTGAAGATGTATCTTATCAGGACCACAGAGACAGGCCAGTAGAGATGCCTGAAGACTAACAATCACCAATAAGGCTTTCTTTCTACCCAGGGAGTGGTCCATTTTGGTGATTTCACTGCACCCAGGCTTACAATCTTTTTGCTTAGTTCAAAACAGTCTGCATGTTCTTGGTCTGTTGTGATATTTTTTTGCTTGTGCTCTGGATGTCTGTACAGAGAGGAGACAGGATGTGACATAGAACAGAGACTGGAAGTGATGAGGCAGGGCATAGACAAGATCTTGGCCTTTAGGGTCTGAGGATGAGGAGAGGTAAGAAGTGACTGTTACTTGGAACCAGGATGTATTCCTGGTACACAAAAGGACCTTGTGGACACATCCCCCATGGAGCGATACTGCCTTAACCTAGAGACAGGAGAGAAGTCCTCGTCCCTACTTCGAATGACCTGACAGATCTACATGACCCCACCTGGATGGCATTACCCTACATGTGGAATTGGGGTGGGAGGATGGGAGAGGAGGATGGTCAGGATGCATGTGAGGGGGCAGAGAGGGTAAAAGGGAGGGAAGGAGGGAGGGAGGGAGGAAGGGAGGAGGGAGGGAGTAACAGAGGTTGGGAGGGAGGGAGAGGGAACTGGGATTGACATGTAAAATAAATAAATTAATTAAAGAAAAAAAGTGACTGTTAACTACTCCTTTGCTTTTCTGCTCTTTCAGCATTTACCTCAATATCTGACTTGGGGGTTTTTATTGATAAGACTAATTAGAATTGCACTTCACTGGCCTGTTAGAATTGTCCACCACTGGCTAAATATAAGGTGCCAACATTAAAAAATGAACCAAGAGCAAAAAGAATGAAATACCTGATGTCATCCAGATAAGTAGGCTAGTAAGGAAGAAGGAAAGCCCATACTCCTGAGGTTTTCTTCCCAAGCTGAAGGGCCAGATTGACATTGAAATGAAGCCCTAGAAAGGATCACTGGTGAATGGCCAAGGGCAATTGAGGATGGGATTTTAAAAGCCTACAACCCACTCCTGTCCCCAGTAGAAAGTCTGCAAGCTGGTCATGGCAGTGAACACCATTAATCTCTGCTCTCAGGAGGCAGAGACTGGTGGACCTCTGAGTTCGAGATAACCCTGATCTACAGAGCTAGTTCCAGGATAGCCAGGGCTACACAGAAACCCTGTCCCTAAAACTACAACAAAACAAACAAACAAAAAAGAAAGAAAAAGTCAGTAGAGAAGAAAGAAAGAATAGACCCAGTTCAAGTTCAAATCAAAGAGAGCAGACTTTAAGTCTGAAAGGATGGCCTCCCCAAGCCCTGGACTCAGTATCACAGGACACAGGACAGTGCCAGACACAGAAACTGCTTTATTTATTTACTTTTTTGAAACCAGATTTTGGGGTTTTTGAACCTCCAGGCTCCAGGGTACATGATAGAGGCTAGCTGCTTTCCAGAAATTCCATGGGCAGCACATGTCTTGAAGCCTTGGGCCTGTCAAATGGTCCTGGTGTGGGGTGTTTAAACATTCTCACCTAAACTCTGGATACAGAAACTCTTTTTCAGTAAGACCCATACTGTTGAAGGCTTCCCCTAAGTCTGGCCTTCACAGAAACTGTGCATTTCAAATCAAAACACTATCCAGAAAATGGCACCACCCCAATAACCACCACTTCACTCATATCTGTACCCGTTTCCTGTGTCCCTACTTTCCACTCATCTGTCTCCCCCCCCCCCCCCCCGAAGACTTCAGCTGGCTGGTAGAGGCCCACCTCTACAGCAGGCTTGATATTTGTAGCATCTCCAAAGGCTTCATGGCCACAGACATAGGTTTGTTTGACTTTATATTCTCTGTCTGTCATTTCAGGCACCAGTGACATGTGACATTCCTTTCATTCCATCACTTCTACACATGGACACTTGTATAGAGACAAAAAGTTAAAAAAAAAAAAAAAAGCCAAAACCAAGAAGCAGATTTTCCCTCTTAATATCAGACGGATCCTAAGGGCTTGGAGGCTGGTCCATCAGTTTGTGATATATAAACAATTAGTGCCTAACTCCTAAGGCCCTTGCCTCATTTTGAATACTGGATGACAGCAGTCTCTCCTTGGGTATGAATACTGTGTGCATATGGTAAGGGGGGCTTGGAGTTTCAGGGGGTGGGAAGATTGCATTTGCAGGTCAGCATGGGCTTAGGGTTTTTCAGTGCACTTGAGGCTTTCAGGGTCCTTTTTTTTTTTTTTTTTTTTTTTTTTTTTTTTACAGGGTGGAAGTGGGACATGATGCTAGTTGAAATGGTCTCTCTCTACAGTCCTGACTGACCTGGAACTCACTATGCAGACCAGGCTGATCTTGAACTCACAAAGATCCACCTGCTTCTGTGAGCATATGAGCCATCATTGCTCAGCCCAAGAGCCATTCAAACCACCCTGCTTCTCTTTTCTGTTACCCTCCTTCAAGCATCTGCTGATATTCAGAGCTTGCCTGCTCCTGGTTCTTCTGCTAAACTTTATTCAAATTATCCTCCACCTCAATTTTCATGCACTCTTTTTATCCTTTTATTAATGAGGCTAAGAACCCTGAGAGAGGAGCCCAGTTCTCAGTGATAGACTCAAATCCCTCTGAGACCACAAACTAAAATAAAGCCTCCTGTCTTAGACTGCTTTAGTTACCTATCTAGTCAGGCACTGCCTTGAACATTCGGATGCATATTTGTGTCCAAACACCTGCTTTCTACTAGAGCCACTAGAGCTTCAGGATAAAATGGGAATTCTGTTTCCCTCTCCTTGAACTGACAAGCTGTTTTCCATAGCAGCTGCAACAATCCACCTCCTCTCCAGAAAGGTATAAGAGTCCCAATTACTTTGCATCCACCCAAATCATCACTTTTTGCTTCTTCTTTCTGGATGCTAACTTTCCTGGTGGGTGTAAATTGGCCTTATGTCATGGTTTTCCCAATTATTAATGACACTGAACATAGTTCCAGATACTCTAGCCTATGAAATAACATCTTAAAATAGGACATGGTATTGTATGTATTGTATTATAATTGTATGTGTGTCATATTATCAGAGACAAATAAAAATACACACAAATATATGGCTATAGGGACTGGAGAGATAGCTCAGCAGTTAAGAACACTAGCTGCCCTTCTAAGGACCCAGGTTCAATTCCCAGCACCCATACCCAATTACCTGACACTTTCTTCTGGCTTCTGTGGACACTGCACAGATATGGTGTACAGATAGACATACATGCAGGAAAAACATGCATACAACACAATAACAATAAAATAATTTAAAATATTGTTATTAAGAAACACAAAAGTTGTCTGAGAGAACACTGACAATAATTATCTAGTATGTTAGATTCATGGGTGAGACACTTCTGTTTTGCATCTTCCTTCTTTTATGGGGTGTATTTGATTAAGAAAGTATTTGATGTGAGAGACCTAGAGGCAAAAACCCCAGATGTGACTTTCACAAGAGAAAAACACACTTTTCTTCATTTCTTTTTGAGGCCAAAAGTTAGACCCCATTAGGCAGTCAGAATGGGGCTCTTAACCCTGAAGGCTTCCCCTTGATGACAACTCCTAGTCCATTCTTGGAAAAAACACAGAGATGCCATGAGTGGTGACACACTTTAATTCCAGCTCTCAGGAAGCAGAGGAAGGCAGATCTCTGAGTTCAAGGCCAGCCTGGTCTACAGAGGAGGGCTGTTATACAGAGAAACCCTGCCTCAAAAAACAAAAAAACAACCAACCAACCAACCAACAAACAAACAAACAAGCCAACCAATCAACAAAGAAAAAGGAAAACCACAGAGTTGGGAAACCATTTGCCTTTGGCACTTTATGTCAGTTTCCCCTAGGGTCCCCTATTATTCTTTGCTGAGTGGACAATGGAAAACTGCTAATTGGCAGCTGATGGCTATACCTCCTAAGGTCACTCTCACTTTACAGCATTCCATTAAAAACTCCAAGCAGGACCCAGACAGCTGCAACTTCCTTAAAGATTTCATTCATGGGACTGGGGATAAGCCAGCTCAGTCTTGGCCTTTGGTCTCTATTGATTGTTTACCACCTTTGCATAAATCACAAACCCATTTAAATCTCTTCAACAGACTCCTTTTCACCCAAGGAGACCATCTGAATCTCATTTTAAAGTTGTATTTATATTGTTATTTTAAATTATGTGCATCTGGGGGAGGTGTTGGGAGTTTTGTGGGTACATGTGTATCTGTGTGTGGGGTTGCTTGGAGTTTTGTGGGTACATGTGTATCTGTGGGGGGGTTGTTGGGAGTTTTGGGTGTATTGTGTGTATGTGTACACATGTGAGCACAGTTGCTCACTAAAGACAGAAGAGGACATCAGATCCCCTGGAGCTGAAGTCAAATCTGACATGGGCATTCAGGGCCAAACTTGGATTCCCTGAAAAGTCAGCAAGTGCTCTTTATCACTGAGTAATGTTCTGTTTTTTATTTTTGGTTTTTCAAAATAGGGTTACTCTGTGTAACAGTCTGGCTGTTCTGAAGACCAGGTTGGCCTCAAAGTCACAACCTCCCAAGTGCTGGAATTAAAGGAGTGTGCCACCACTGCTCGGCCTGCATCTCACTTTTTATTTGTTTCTTTGTGTTGGTTTGTTTTAGATGCAGGGGCTTTGGAGTGAAGAGATGGAACACAGGGTTTCCCACACCTTCAGCAAGGGCTTTATCGTTAAAGCTAGCCTCACTGTGAGGAGCATCTCCAAATGCAGCCCTTGTCCATAGTGCTAAAGGAGTGGCCAACCCTTTTCTCTCTTTCTTACTAGGGAAAAACCTGAAGACATAACTACATAACACCCTGGAAGGGCCTAACACGGTGACCCACAGATTTGTAGTGCCAACTTGCAAGGCCAAGGCAAAGCTTAAAACCAGGAGTTTGAGACTGCTCATGGTGTCATAGTAAGACCCTAACTTTAAAAAAAGACAATAAAATGCCAGGCTTTAGGTTTAATAAGCACAGTAATTTAGTGGCCCCTCCCCGAAAAATAATTCTGAGGTGAGAGAAGACAGGCCTATCAACTGATTAGAGTGGAGATCAGAGTAATGGAAATAGGGCTGAAGTAAAGGATTTGATGGACAATCAGAGTTCAGACTTGCCCTTCTTCCTGCCCCCTCTCTCTTGCTCAGACGCCTGCCCTTGGCTTCCTATTGTCCAGAGAGTAGTCCAGCTAGACTGGAGGAGAATGCACCTTCACAGTAAAGGAAGTAGAGGAAGTCAAGAGTCTTTGGCTCAAACACCAGCCGGCCTCCCTCACCCATGCAATGTCCCCTGATGGTGTTCTGTAAGGTTCAGGTACAGGTGGCAGCTCTGTTTATTCTGGGATCCGAAGAGGTAGTTGGTAGTTGGGTGAGTAGGGTGGTCCCAGGCCAGATGTGGAGTCAGTCACTTCGTGCCTGTGCTGAGCGGTTCCACCCTCAGCCACAACCCGCCCTCTGCGCGCAGGATAAGCTCCGGCTGCCTGCGTGGCTCCTTGTCATCAGGCAAGAGGCGGAAGCGCAGTAGTGTCAGTGCCAGGGCCACTTTCATCTCGTTCATGGCGAAAGTCTGTCCTATGCAGTTCCTGCGGGGGAGGGCAGGGACTCTGACTGCAATCTGGACCCAGTCAGGGTCCCTACCACGCTTGGGCATCTGCATCCCAAAGCTCTTACGGCCTCAGTGCCCAATTCAGACCAGGGTAGGGCTCTGAACACAGAGCAGCAGCCCTTCACGTCTCAACCCTTACTTTCGAGACCTTTGCAAATCACTTGAGTAGAGGGCAGGAAGGAGACCCAGAACCAGACCATCCTAACTCCCCGCTATTCCCACTGTCAGCCCCAGATCCCACTCCATTAACCCAAGCTGCTGCCCTCACCTAGGCCCCGCTGAGAAGGGAATAAATGCCAGAGGTGACCGGTCTTTGATGTTTTCAGGGTCAAAGCGGAAGGGATCATAGACCTGTAGAAGACATTGAGCCAAGGTGACCAAGTGACCTCCCAGGACAACCAGGGACAGAGTCCTGAGTGTTCTGGGGGAGGTGAGATCTGATTTTGTAGGTCAAAGCCACGCCTCCTCCCCTAGCATTCCTACCACACGATGTAGGGAAATAGGGGCTAAGACAGGCAGCACCTCAGGGTCCGGCCACACAGATGGGTTGTGATGGATCCCAAAGATGCTGATGAGGCAGATGACACCTGAGGGAGAAGAGGGGGTTGTAAAGACAAGAATGCGTTGCCTACCCAGGACCCTTTTCCCCTGTCCTGTGGGCACCTTTAGGGATGACCCGGCCATCTAGGAGCCAAATATCTTGGGTGCAGCATCGGGAGATGACAGGGACCGGGGGATGCAGCCGCAGACTCTCCTTGATGCACATGGTCAGGAAGGGCAGCTGGTTGAGGTCGTCCCTAAGGAAACCCTTTGAACTATTACTCAAGGAGCAAAAGAGAGACTGCTTGCTCATGTGGATCAATGCAATGTTTTCCCACAGTGATGAAAATAAGCCCAAGATGGACCAAATATGCGCTAAATGTAACACTAGAGAATTAGGAAGTGTTCTAAATTAGGACTGATCTCCTGCCAAGTTGGAACTTTCTGACTAGTCCTTGGCCTGGTCCCTTCCGGGTTTCTGGGACCAAAGTGGAGCTGAATACAAAACTGGGGTGGGAAAACCATTGTAAGAGGGTTTTTTTCTGGGAAGTCTGGATGGATCAATGACCCAAGGGCCCTGGGCAGCACACAGACTGCTATTTTATTCTATTTTATTGAGACAGAGACTCTCTACATAACCTTGGCTATCTGGGAACTTGCTATGTAGACCAGGCTGACCAGGAACTCAGAGGACCTCCTGCCTCTGCCTCCCAAGTGCTGGGGTTAAAGGTGTGCCATTACACCTGGCTATTTTATTTGTAATGAACACAAGCAGATCAGAGCTTCAGATCTACTAGAACTGAGTTCCTGGTGGTTGTGAGATGTGGATTCTGGGAACCAAACTGTACAAGAGCAGGAAGTGCTCTTAACAGCTGAGCCATCTCTCTGGCTTCAGCACACTTTAATACTCAAATATCACCTATGAGTCCCTGGACATATCACTATAGTAAGATCTAGGGTGGAGGACAGGAATAAACAGTCATGGAAGAAAACATCTGTTGGAGAGAAAAGAGACCGGGGAAGTGCTTTCACTGAACACGTGCAAAATGTCACCATCTTTTCCTTGTGATTACCTCTGTTCTCTCAGAGCAACACAAATGTCTCTGTTCCAAAGCCAACAACCCTTTCCTTGCTAGCCAGGTTTAGTACCAGGTCTCTCCTCTGGGCTCACATTCTGTGCCCATGATCAAATATAGGAGAATTAGCAAAAAGAGTGACTCTTCCCAACTTGAGGAGGAGAGCCAAGGAGAGAGAAATGTTCCAGGAAGACCTACGCTCACCATTCAATCTCCTCAGGCTCTCGGCCCCTCAGCAGCTCCTGCACCTCCTGCCGGCAGCGCTCCTGGTACTCTGGGTGCCTCGCCAGGTTGTACAGGATCCAGGAGAGACCACTGGCTGTGGTGTCATGGCCTGAGGGACAGACAGGCATGGGTCTATGCACTGTTTCAGCACTACTGAATGGACAGCACCCAGGTAATAAAGTCCAGGGAAGGATGGGAAAGGTAACATGAAGGCTTCCTGGTTCTCCCAACAAGTCTCAAAGATGTATAAACTTCTGCCTCCTCCCTAGTCACACAGTGGGACCCTCACCCTCAAACATGAAGGTGTCAGCCTCTGCTCTGATGTCCTCATCTGACAACTCTTTTCCATCTTCATCCTGAAAACACACAACCAATCACAGCAGTTCCGAAAATTTCTGTGTTTAAACAACATGCCATTCTCAAAAGATCCATTGTTCATTGTTCAGCCAGAAACCAAAGGCCACCCATCACTGCATATCTCTTGACTATTACTATTGGTCCACTCTGAACTTCTCAGGCTTTTTTTTTTTTTTTTCTTTTTCTGGTTATCTCCTGTGGTGTCCACAGTTGAAGGAGTCAGCAACCCACACATAAATGTCACCATGCTTTTGCTTGATGAGGGATTTCTGAGAAACCAACAGTGACTTGATGTGGAGGATGAGTGTATGGCAACTTGCCTTGGAAATTAGAAGTAAAGCCTTACTTCAAAGACCTTTAACCATATTCAAAAGTGCTGGCTCCAGGGACTCTTGTCTTACCTGCTGAAACATTTGGTTTGCAAATCTATAGACTTTGCCCTGGAGAGAACCTGTTGAACTCTAGAACAACGTTTCCTCTCTTTCCTTCCTCCCTTCCTCTCTCTGTGTCCACTATTTACCGCCTTGAGGGAAACCAGACTCAGGTCTACTTGTTATTTTCCATGAAGCACAGATAGCAATGCACTCTCTCTGTGGTGGAAGCCCTGCTGTACATGCAGATAAACACTTCTTCTCCTGGGAAGGAGGACATGGAGGAGCCACTGCTATATCCTCTTCTGACCTGTTGCCATGACTAAATAAGGGCTGCTGTGATCATTGATTTGGGGCAGGTAGTTGCCTCTGTGTGTGTGTGTGTGTGTGTGTGTGTGTGTGTGTGTGTGTGTGTGTGTGTAGAGATATAAGTGCCACACAACTATGCATTAACCTGTAAAATGCCCAGGCTTTTCAAAGTTACAGGCTTGGCAGTCTCCCAAAGTCTGCATTCCAGGACCATTTCTAAAATCTGCCAGTGCATGCCATGTCTCTCCCAATCCCGCACCCCTGCATGGCTCCACAGTACCCCCTGTATCAAGGTCATATTATTTCACTAGATACTTGGCATTGATATCATCCTGCTTCTTGAGAAGCCCACCTTGATCAGTAGCAGCACATCAATGAAATCCAAAGTCTTGGACTCAGCCTTGGACTTAATGAAGTCATCCAAACCTTGATCTGGGAGGGTGCGGCGCCGCTCCTGGATGACAGCATCAGTGAATTCATGCACCAAGTTGCAGGCCTTACGGAAGCGCATCCCATCAGAGGTGAGATGGTACACCAGGTCCATGTATAGCAGAGGCTGCTGGTGCCTTTTGGCCACTAGAGCACTGAGCTCCAAGATGGCAGCAATATATTCACTTGGCTTCCTGCAGGATTTGGACAAAGACGGCAATTTAAAACATGTGAATCTTGTGCCTCTTACCAGCAGCCAGGAGCCATTGGGAATGGAGAAGCCAGGAACACTTGGTCACAGAGGCAAAGTTGAATGAGCCCTGAGATTCAGACCAGTTAAAGCTATATAGCAAGACCTTGTTTCAAAAAATGTTTATTTATTTTTACTTTATGTGTTTTTCCTGATGTATGTATATACACTGGTGCCCTCAAAGGGCAGAAGAGTGTGTTGGGTCATTTGGCCCTGGAATTACAAGTAGTTGTAAACTTCCATGTGAGTGCTAAGAATCAACCCCAGGTAGTCTGCAAATACCATCTCTCTTGCCCCCCTAAAGAATATTCAAGGCCATAGAACTTCAAGATATGGGGTCTAGGGAAGAATTTAGGATATTAAGTATGCTCTTGATGGGGATAGTCTATCTGTCTGCCTCTTTGTCTGTCTGTCTGTTTCTGGATGCCATGAGGTGTCAGACTCTTTTAAAAGGTGCTCCTGGCTATGATGTGGTGTTGTCCAGGCTCAGAAGCGATGGTGACCACTGCCTAAGGCTTCTAAAACCACAAGCCTCCCTTCATTTCAGGCTCACTCAAGTACTTGGCCACGTTGTTGGAAATATGACAAACACCTTCATAGTTTCCCTGGAACCACAGGCAAAAAAAAAGTATATCTGGCTTTACCCTGGCCTTATGATCTAGCCACGGCTGATCCCGTGAGTTTCATTTCCAAGATGCCTCCCCAGTTCCTATCCCACAAGTTATGCTTGTCGCCACGTTTATGGCTTTATTGAAACAATCCCACCTCCTGGAAGGAAGATGCACTTTCTCCTTTCCCAGGTCTTTCAGTTTGGTTCTGAACCATCTCCTCTGGGGAGGTCATTCTGATCCCCTTGGTTAGTCCTCCCTCCTTTTGGTTCATGACCCAGGTTCTGAGGCCCAGAACAAGGACTCACTCCTGACAGTTGCTGTTAAAGCTGAAGACACATTTCTGCAGACTGTCCAGAGTCATGAGGCTGATGTGCTCAAACATGTCCAGACTGGCACTGCCTTTGGAGAATGAACGCTGCCACTTGGCCTGGCAAGAGAAAGGATCAGGGTTGGACCTTGGCTCCTTGAGACCCTGCCTAATCTCAACCCCTGACCCACAACCAGCCTCCCTGTCTTATACTCCAGCCGCACAAACCCAGGAAAGAGGGCAAGTTATGACACTGGCTTCCAGGCACTCACATGCATGATGTTGGTGCTGTCATTGAAAATCTTCACATAGGGCTTCAGGATGTTGAAATGGAAAGCAGGTGTCAGCATGCGACGGTGGTGGCTCCACTTGTCACCAGCACTCACCAAGAGCCCATCCCCTGATGGAGCAGCCACCATATTAGGCAAGAATAGCACCTTTTTCTGAACCGCAAGGGTGTCCTTTGCCTCTTGCCTGCAGATACTCACCCAGCCAAGGTTTCAGAAAGCTGTAGAATATCACATCCTTGAGTGCAACTGCAGCTGACATGAACAAAGACAGTCACAGGTCATGGAGTGGGTGAGAACAGACCATGGAAGATGGGTGGGATTCCCTTCTAAGAGTCTGTACTTCCCTCCAAAGTCCACATACCAGGGAAAGAAAGAAGGACAGAGGAAGGAAAAACGAAGTCGAAAGTGAGAAAAGTGAAGACTAGACCAGGCAACAGCAGTATCAGCAGGTAAGACAAAGGTATGGCTTGACATGCTACATTATACTATAGCACCACTTCACATGGCTTTTACATAGCCTAACATGTCTGCCATGCCTGAGCCCATCACAACACTGACATTTACTAGAACCTGGGTCCCTGTCCTCTAGGCACCCTAGGTATCTGATATTTCCTGAACAGATATGAGACACACATGAATACATAATATGACATGGCATGGCATGGCCTTATCACACTTAACTGCCCTGACATCATGATCCCTCATGCTATAACATGGATCAGAAATTATCTGTGTATGGTGGTTTGAATAAAAATGTGTCCCAGAGGCTAATATACAGAATACTTGTTCCCTAGGTACTGCTTTCCTGGATGAAATGCCTCACTTGCATCATGCCTTTGAGAGTTCAGACTTTAGCTACTTCTAGATTGCTCTTTATTCTTTGTGTTTATGGTTGAGTATGCCATCTCACAGTCTCCTCCTCTCATCACCATGCCTCCATCACCATTATGGACTCCTCCCTCTGAAACCACAATCTAAAATAAACTCCTCTCTCTTTGAGTTCCCTTGGTCATGGTGTTTCATCACAGCAACAGAAAAGTAATGAAGACATCGCGGGTCTTGTAAGTTGCAACACTAAAGAGGTTAAAGCAAGAAGATCCAGAGTTTGAGTCTGGCCTGGACTGAGTAGCAAAACAGTATCTCCAATAAAAGCAAAAGCTCCATTAGTCTACCAAATGTGGCCCATATTGCGACCTGGAGGTTCTTGCCTTGAATACAACATGGACAAAGCATCCATCATTTTTTAGAAGGACCATGGGTCCCAGACCACAAATAACCCCAAAGAGGGCCCAGAGATGAAAAACAAGATAAGAAGGCCACCTCCAATAGCTTCTCAGAACCTGCCATGCCTCAAATATTTAGGTTCAAAGTTAAGCCCAGACATGACTATTTTCATGCATCCTAGTTGCAACAAATACAATGCAGAGAGAGAGAGAGAGAGAGAGAGAGAGAGATGTGTAAATACAAACTTGCAACAGCTGTGGCCACATAGATGACATCATAGCTATGTTCACAACATAAACAGCATGAGCAGACACAAGACAGGGCATGCGCAGGTCAGAAAGATGTAGGAGCATCATCATTGCCACCATCCATCCTGCCTGCCTGGTACACATTACATTATCAGCCAGAGGCATCACATAGTCCCCAGTTATGGGTAAGCTGGTACAGTGTCTACATGGAGTAAACAGCATGGGCTTCATGGAAGTGGGGTGGTCTGGACTGGGGAGATGACTTGGTGGATAAAAGCACTTGCTGTAAAAGTCTGAAGACCAGACCCTGAATCCCCAAACCAGATGTTTATAATCACAGTGTTCATACAGTAAGATAGAAGCCAGATATGAGAGGGTTCTCTACCTGCCCCTGAAGCTCGAGGGCTGTCTAACTAGTGTGCATATACAGGAACATACAATGAGGGACCCTGTCGCAAACAAGGTGGAAGGCAAGGATCAACATCCAAGGTGCCCTCTAATGTCCACACGTGTGCCGTGGCATATGCATGCCTGCACTACACACACAAATATGCCCTCTCACAAGTATTTAAAAAAGTAAAGTGGGGTGGTCGGTTTAGATGCTTAAGTTCTAGGGCATAAATGAAATAATTTGGCAGTCAGAGAGTGTCAGGCCTATGCCTGGCAAGGGATAGAGATGTGGTGATGTTTCTCTTTTCCTTCTTAACATTGCTTGTCCCAAGATGGGAAGATGCAAATGCAGGAGAAGGGAGCTAGGCTGTGATGGGTATCCTGGGGGAGATTTCTGGGCCCTGACAAGACACCAATCAACATAAGGTGATCAACCAACTGGATGGGGTGGAAGGATCAACTCAGCAGAGTTGAGTGGTGTAGAAAGAACAGACAAGATTCTCTAGCAGACACAGTCTTCTCTGAGCCTAGGTTTCTTTTTTTTGTGGTTCTAGGCCTTGGCCTCAGATGTTTCAGATGCCTACTGAGCCATCTGGCCATGACTTCAATATTCCTGCTCATACCAACAGACATGGCTTGAACAACTCCTCCTCCAGGAAGCCTTTGCACATATTCTAGCAGAAAGCATACCTCTCTACTTAGCTGCCAGGGCCCCTCTCTCCTTCTGATGACACAAGCTTAGGGGTGACCCTGCTAAGTTCTATCTCAAGAATTGACTTCCTCTAGGGATAGGACCTTAAGTTGAAGACTGGGGACCCAGAAAAGTCCAGAACACCAAGATCCAGGTGGGTGCAGACAGTAGAGCAAGTGGGAGCTGGTGAATCCATGAAGAGAAGAGAGAGGCTGTCAGGGAATAAAGGAGGAACTGGACGACTGCAGGAACCACACGGAGTATGTGGTTAGGGCCTGGGGAAACCCTCAGATTCCCACCACCAACTCCCATGGGTACCTGAGGCATTCAGGATAGATCTGACGATGTCCGAGTGGCACAGAGTGATAACAGGTAACATTGGGCCCATCCACATCATAAAGCCCTGGGGGTAGGTCGCCACCAACTGAGTCAATCTCTTCATGCCCTGCTCTGTAGGAGTTACCTGCAAGCAATACAGGAACCTCCTGAGGTGGTTTATATCAGGGATAAAGTTTACTAGGTTAAGGGATGCCCAGGTAGGGATGCTCATGACCTCTTGTTATGATTGTGATGGTACTTCAACACGACCCAACCCAGGAAGATCTAGAGAGACTAGGCAGAGAAGGGGAATATTTCATCTCTTTTTTAGAGATGGGACACCATTCTTCTTCTACCATCAGATATAAAAATTCAGGTCCTTGAGATGTTGAGCTCCAGTGTTGTGAGTCTTTCTCTGTCCCACCTGCCAGCTCCCAAATCACAACACAGAAACTTACTGTTAATTATGAATGCTCAGCCAATAGCTTAGGCTTATTTCTAACTAGCTGTTATAACTTAAATTAACCTATTTCTATTCATTTACTTCCTGCCTCATGGTTTTATTGTCTCATATCTGTTGTGCCCATCCTACTTGCTCTGTGTCCCCTGGTGTCTCTACCTTCTTATTCCCAGCATCCTCTCTGTCCCCCCAAATCCTGCCTAACCATTGGTCATTCAGCTTTTGTTTGTTTATTTGTTTTGTGAGACAGGGTTTTTCTGTGTTGGAGCTCTGGCTGTCCTGGAACTTGCTTTGTAGACCAGACCTGGCTTCAAACTTGAAGAAATCTGCCTGCCTCTGCCTTCCAAGTTCTGGGATTAAAGGCGTGAGCTACCACTATCCAGAGGCCATTCAGCTTTTTATTAAACCAATCTGAGTAACACATCTTCACAGCATACAAAGATTATTCCACCACTATCCAGTATTTATACCTCTTCACACACTGTTGTTCCAAGACTGAGTTGGTTCCAGCCCGGATTTCTGTTTGCAGATAGCGTACTGAGGTACTCATCCATCTCTATGAAGACGTAAGCCAATTCCCATAATGCAATGTACCTCCTGTTTCTTCTACCCTTGTTTACATATGTGTATAGTTATGTATGTGTGTATACATGATTGCATAATGATGCTTTTGTCAAAGACAGACTGCACAGATGAACTTATCTCTTATGGCTTCAATGAAACTAAAGAGTCTCTGTTTCCTATTATTTTTCCTATCCATTTCTATGTTTAGATACATTCAGATGCATAAATACCAAGATATAACAAATTATATACAATGTTCAGGATAGCACCATGATGTACAGATTTGTATATCTAAACAACAATTGGTACCACATAACCTAGGTGTGCAGTAAACTACACCTAGTAGGTTTGTGTCAGTAGACTCTAATGTCAGCACAATGACAATGCCACTTCTGGACAAATTTCTCAGAATATCCTCATCACTCCTTGATCTCTCTCTCTCTCTCTCTCTCTCTCTCTCTCTCTCTCTCTCTCTCTCTCTCTCTCTCTCTCTCTGTGTGTGTGTGTGTGTGTGTGTGTGTGTGTGTGTGTGTATATACTATTTGTTCCACTTCTCCAGAAAACCATAACTAAGCCACTTTCCCAGGAGCATCAGCAGATCCCTTCTGCAACTGGAAGTGACACAGCTTGTGTCATAAGTGCACCTATGCTAGATTTTGTAGGGAATGAAGGGAACCCTCACCCCTTCTGTTTTGTTCCTCCCAGAGTCATGTTCAAGGCCCAAGTGTCCATTCCAAGCCTAGTGGATAAGTTAGGTTATATACCCATGACCTTCCATGTCCTGGCTGGTCCACAAATCCTCTAGTTCTTCCCCTAGACAAAGGACCACATATCAGGCACCTCCAGCCTTGGCAGGTTCCAGGGAAGCAGCTCCATTAGGATAGCAGCTCCCACCCACCAGCATCTGCTGCCCACCAGCCTGAGAGCATCCCCAACCTCTGTGCACAGCCCACACTGAGCCATTTGTGAGTGAAGCAACCAGGGTTAGCCAGCCAAATGAGAGAGTAGATGGAAGTAAAAGTCCAAAGTGTGGGGTCAAGGAAGGTCCATGGGAGGGTGAGTGGGTAAAGGGTGGGGTCAAGGAAGGTCCATGGGAGGGTGAGCTGACAGACAGCTTTTATTCAGGTCTATCTTAGTGAGGAAGAGCATGATAAGGAGGAAGTGGCCCAGGGAGGGAGGTGGGGAGTGAGCCTGTAGTCCTGCTATAACCCAGCTGTGCCCTGCCTGTGTGCAGTTAGGGAGAGAGATCAAAGATCAATACTAGAGAACTGTACAACAGAGGTGGGTTCACACAAAGAAACTGTCCCAGTCCCCCAGGAGGCCTAGAGTCTAACAAGCAGACACTGAATATCTCATTCTGAGACCTTCTCAGCATCCTCCAGTGTGAAGAAGATAGTTGGAGATGTCTGGGAATTCTGGAGTGGGAGCACAGGGAGGTGAGAAGGGAAGGCATACCCAAGATCATCAGCTAACCTTCTCCATCAGTCTGAGCCCCATTCCTGTCCCCTTAAAAGACCATCCACTCCGTCACCCCCACCCATCCTGCTGCTACACTTACCATGCCCACATGACCCATAAGCCAGTTCCGTTTGGGGGGCTCAGGGAAACCACGGAGGCGACGATAGTTCCCACGGGCAGCATAGATCTGGGTCAGAATTCCAGCCAGGAGCCAGAGTGCCCCAACCAGCAGCAAGAGCTGCCATGGGGAGGCCATCTCAGGCCCCAGTCCTGGCCAGGACAGACTGTGCTGTGACATCCTGGTGGGCAGGTAAACACACAGTGAATAACTGAGGTCCAGGAAAGGGGCAGGAATCTCCAGAGACACTGGATAGAGGACAGAGCAGGAAGGAAGAGTGAGATCCAGGGAAATGCAGGGGAAGAGGCTGTAAGAATGGAGAAGAAAATAAGGAAGGGGAAGAGGAACACAGTGATGAGGGAGAGGACCAGGGATAGCAAAACATAGAGGAGGAGAGAAATTGATTGGAGTTAAGACCTCTCTAAATTATACAAAACTAACCAGGGGTTTAGTTATTCAGAAACTACCATCCCCAAGGCCAGCTGGCTCCCTGTGGCATTTGTGCTTGGCCAGCTGGCTTTCTGCTCTGCCCTGGGCTTGGGTTGTCCCTCCCTATCCCAAACTAGGTTCCTACAATATCACCACCCCCAGCCTGGCACCTCTTCTCAGGAACAGCAATCTAACATACCTTCCCTTTCCTCTTCTGGGACTCTGTGTCCCTGGCTTCTGGATGCTGGGTGGCTGGCTGTTCTGAAGCAGCCAATCCCTGCCAAGCCTGCATGCCACCTCCTTGACTGGGAAAGTGGCCAAGATGGGGGTAGAATCAGCCTGATGCAGAGAGGAATCATCATAGGCTGGCAAAACATGGACACCTGAATCTGAGGACTATTATAGGACAAGGTTGACACTGAGTTACATATTTCCAGCATCCCTGCTCCTCCATGGTGGACATGGTACACTAAGTAAAATGGTGAACTCCCACAAGCTGGGAGATAGAATCTGGCCAGCCTGGTCCGTATCATCTCCTGAGCTCCTGTCCAATGGGCTGTGAGGACAGCATGAGAAGGCTATGGGACTGAAGAGTCTGCCCACCAGCTGCTCAGCCTGGAGGAGTTCACATCCTGTCTTCTCAGCAGAAAGAAGACATTAACCCCATTTGGGGTTTCCATGTCCAAAACCAGGGATCAAGAGTCCAGCTGAGTCTGAGATGGGTTGAGCTAGGAAATACAGAGTAGAGTAGTCATGTGGGGATGAGAGAGACCTTGAACAGATGGGATCCAGGAGAGGGTAAGAGTGTGTGTGTGTGTGTGTGTGTGTGTGTGTGTGTGTGTGTGTGTGAGCAGAAGCCAGAAGAAGACATCTGCTTCCCTATAGCTGGAGTTACAGATGGTTGTGAGCAACCTAACATGGGTGTTGGGAAATGACCCTCTGGAAGATCAGCAAACATTAACTGTTGAACCATCTCTCTAGTTCCCTTCATCTTCCTTCCTTCCTTCCTTCCTTTCTTCCTTCCTTCCTTCCTTCCCTCCTTCCTTCCCCCCTCCCTCCCTTCATTTTATTTCTGATTTTTTTCATCTTTCTGATTTTTTTTTAGACAGGGTTTCTCTGTGTAGCCATGGCTGTCCTGGAATTTGTTCTATAGACCACACTGGCCTTGAACCCACAGAGATCCACCGGCCTCTGTTTCCCAAGTGCTGGGATTAAAGCAATGCACTACCACACCCAGCCCACCTCCTTTTGTTCTAACAACACTTTAGTTAATACTCACTCTCTGTATTATCATAATTTGTGTATTTTGCTATTTTGAGACAGTGTTTTGTGCTTAGCCTTCTAAACCTCCCAATTCTAGGCCTGGGTGGAATTAGAGGTGTGCTCCAGAATTCTCAGTTGATACAGAGTAGATCAAACCTAGGGCCCTCTTTTTTTATTCTTAATTTATTTTCATTTTGTATTCATTGGTGTTTTGCCTGCATGTATCTTGTGAGGATGCCAGAAGCTCTGGAACAGGAGTCACAGGCATGTGTGAGCTGCCATGTGGGTGCTGGGAGTTGAACCTGGGTCCTCTGGAAGAGCAGCCAGTGCTCTTAACCACTGAGCTATCTGTTCACCCCATCCTCTTTGATGCTAGGCAAACACTCTACAAACTGGACTACAACCCCCCCCAGGCCTTTAATTTATAATTTTACAAAAGCTCAGGAGAGGAACAAGGACCTCCAGGAACAGCGGATGAGAGCAGCTACTGCTGGAGCTGAGGATAGAGCAAAAAAGAGGGATAGTCAAGGAAATGCCTGGGAAGGGATGAGAAGGGGCAGAAGATAATGAGGAAGAAGAGTAGGAGGAGGAAGGGGAGATTAGACTATGAAGACATGGAAAAAAGAGATTGAATAAGTTCAATTATGTTTAAATCATATGGACATGACCAGTTGCCTAGAAATCCCCATCTCCTGGACCACCTGCTCCCTGCAGCTATATTACCCTTTGGGAATGTTCGCTCCATCCTGAGCCAGGACCCACCAACATCAACTTGGTACTTTCTCATGTGTTCCCCACAGCCCCCTCTACCCTCTTTTGGGATATCTCTGTTCCTGGATCTTGACCTGGGGTAAGGGGCACGTTATGAGGGGCTGGATTGACCTGGACCTGGACCTGCCTTCTAGACCTAGTTACCTGCTCCAGGCCTGGGAAGGTGGCCAAGATGTGGGGGCAGGGCCAGCTTATTTCAAGGTAAAGCAATCAGAGTTGTAAAGCACTTGATCCTTAGAACCTGAGCACTTCCTTCTGGAATGAGGGACAAGAATGGAGGTGTGGACAATGGCGATTCTGAGTTACCAAATGTCCAGTCCCCATGCCCTTGTAAGGACAGGACACATTAGGCAAAATAACAGAATCTCAGAGGCCAGGAGACCAGGACCAGGTAGGTAATCCCAGCCCCAGGGCAGCTTGCAAGGTAGAAGCATGGTGTGCAACATTTCTTGGTGTGGAACTAAGGCTCCGTGATGCTCCTGCCTGACAGCCTCACAGCCTGGGAAAATTCATGGACTTCCTCTAAGGCTTAGCATCTAAGCAGACCAGGGCCCAGGTGCAAAGGATCAGGGATAAGGAACCCAGCCCTGCTAGAGATTACTCAGGTCAGGTTGCAAAGATAAAGAGCCCAGCTGCCAAGTCGTGGCTGGGCCAGGGCTGTGGTGCAGGGCAAGGGGTAGCAGGATGAGAGCACATGTGAGGCAGGATTGAAAAGGATTCTGAGGAGATGGGGTCCACTCAGGGGAGGGCAGAACAAAGGGGCACTGAGTGAGTCCTCTTTCTTCCCCATCTTTCTCTGACTGTGGGGATGGCCAGCTCTCTTGACTGTAGTTCTCACGGCTGGGGAGTGAGATGTCCTTTGAGGAGGAAAAAGGAGGGCCAAGAAGAGGGAGTGAAGGAAGAGCCTGGTAACTACTAGTGGAGTTGCAGTGAGCAAGTACTTTATGCAGAGAGTGTATCGATCTTGTGTAGGGGATGTCTTAGTCAGGGTTTCTATTGCTGTGATGAAATACCATGACCGAAAAACAAGTTGGGGGGAAAGAGGTTTATTTGTCCTATACTTCCATGTTGTTCTTCATTATTGAAGGAAGCTAGGACAGAAACTCTTAACAGGGAAGAATCCTGGAGGCAAGAGCTCGTGCAGAGGTCATAAAGGGATGCTGCTTACTGACTTCCTCACCTGCTTTCGTATAGAACCCAGGACCAACAGCCCAGGGATGGCCACATCCACAGTGGGCTGGACCCTCCTACATTTATCACTAATCGAGAAATGCCTTACAGCTGGATCTCATGGAGGTATTTCCTCAGCTGAGTCTCCTTCCTCTCTGATGACTCTAGCTTGTGTCAAGTTGACAGACAAAACCAGCCAGTACAGGAAAGTACTACACTGCACAGCATCTTTTAATAAAATGTGTTTATGGCACACTGAGCGGCTGAGGTGCTTAACCTTGGCTGTCAGCCTGACTGGATTTGGAATCAGGTAAGAAGCATTCCTCTCAACAGGCTTATGAGGCTATTTCCTGGAAAGATGAGCTGGAGAGGAAGACCCTCCCCTAGAAAACAGAACCTTTCGACTGCAGCCCCGATATATAAAGAGGTCTGAAGAAAACACAGGATTGCCTTTTCCTGCTCACCTTCACTTCTTGCTGGTGAGCACATCTACTCTGAATCTGCCTCCATTTGCAGACACTGGAATCTAGAGTCTTCATTCTTCCAGTGTGGACTGGAGACCAGTGGTTCTTCAGGTACCCTCCAAGGTTAGAACTGTTGAGATGAGGCATCCAGCTTCATGGAATGAGCAAGTACAAGGTTCTTGACTTCACCATACAGGTTATCTCAACCTCTCCATACAGACTCAGCCAGGATTGTGTAAGGCATGCTAATATACCTCTCAGTACTGTATTTTCATTGTGTTGGCTCTGTTTCTCTCAAGACTACCATGATGACCATGATGGTATAAAGTGTGTCTATTCTTGCATGCAGGCAACTTCATGTTTTCCTACCATGCACTCCTCAGCAGTCTGAGCCAGAGTCCTGGATATCACATGGGGAGACACAAGTGATAGCATCCAGAGGAGAGAAGATGCCCATTTAATAGAAGAGCTAACTGCTGCTCAGGGAGGGCAAGTGTCTAGCCCAGATCACGTGATTCCCTTTGAACCACCCTGAACCTGTCCCAGGTTCTGTGATTGGTCCCAGAAAACAAGTGCTCAAAGAGTCAGACTCCTAACAGAACTGCTATGAGGGAAAGGGATGGGACCAGAGTCAGGGCTCCTGATGCTGTAGGATGTTAGGAACCGCCTCACCTCTCTCTACCTGCCTCATTGCCACCTCAGTTCAGTCAGCAAGAACAGCAGGAGTGTCTCTAGAGCCCTCAAAAGAGTGGTATGTGCCTTTCCCAGAATTCCCATTCTATCAATGACACACACATTGAACCCATGAGGATGTCTCCTTCGTGCCTGCTGTTCTCAAACAGTCCTATAGAGGGAGCAGTCTCACACTACTGGCCGAAGCAGGCACTAGAGTCTTTGAGGAATTACAGTCATTAGTAGTGGGTTCAGAGACCCACAAACTCCCAACTCCAAATCATCATGAGCATTGTGATGCTAGGCAGAATCTTCTAAGCCTATTCAGAGCAGGAAATGAAATAATGTAGCAAATAGATTATGGAATAATTTGCTCCATCATAAAGCAAAGAGTGGAGTATTTTCTGGTGAAAAGAATCTTTAGTTTGGGTTTTTTTTTTTTGTTTTTTTTTTTTTTTTTTTTTTGTTTTTTTGTTGTTGTTTCTCTAGACAGGGTTTCTTTGTGTAACAGTCCTGGCTGTCCTGAAACTCACTTTGTAGATCAGGCTGGCCTTAAATTCACCCAGATCCTTACTCTGTATCCCAAGTGGTGGGATTAAAAGCTAATGGGCACTATAAAAAGTGAACTCGGTTGTACAAAATATGTGTAAGACATCTATGATGAAAACCTCAAGGCACTGAGGAGAGAAATTTGAGGAGATACAAATAAATGGAGAGACATACAATGTTCACAGACAGGATGACTCAACAATATTAACATGCTGATTCTCTTTAAACTGACCTATTGATTTAGAAAGTCTTGAACAAAATCCAAACAGCACTCTTTGCAGTAGACACATTGATTATAAGATTAATTCATTTGAAACAATGTATATCAAAGTGTTCTGGAACTCTCCAGATTCACCTGCCTCTGCCTCCTGAGTACTAGGATTAAAGGTGTGCACTACCATGTTCAGCCAGTTATGATATTTATGTGAAAACCCAGAGCACAGAATTGCCAAAATACATTTGAAAATAAAAATATAACTGAAGAATCCCTGTTATTCCCTTCAAAACATGGCATACAGCTGTAAGAGTCACAGGGCCGGAGAGACAGTTCAGCAGTTAAGAGCATTGACTGCTATGGCAGATGATCAGGGTTCTATTCTGAGGACCACCATGGCAGCTTACAGCCACCTATAACTCTAGTTCCAGGAGATTCAATGCCTTCTTCTGGATTCTGTGGTCACCTTATGCATGCAGTGCTCTAATGCTCTTAAAATAAAATCTTTTTTGTTTTGTTTTCTTTTTTTGAGACAGGATACCTCTATGTAGTCCCTCCTGAATGTTCTAGAACTTGCTATGTAGGCCAGGCTAGCCTTGAATTCATGAGGTTCACTTGCCTCAGTTTCCTGAGTGCTAAGATAAAGGTTTGCACCACTACACCTGTCATAAATAAATGGTCAGCCTTAAAAACATACATACAAACAACTCTCTAGACTGAGCATGTTATATACTGCATGTTATATACAGTAACAATAATAATAATAATAATAAAAGAGGCCATGAATTTGAAAGAGGGTGGGGAAGGACATATGGGAGGATTTGGAAGGAACGGAAGGGAGAAAAGTTATAACTACATTATAGTCTCAAATAAATAAACAAATAAACAAATACACGATTATCAATAGAATAGTGAGTATGGTGGCCAGAAGCTGTCTAGTTACTGAAAGTCCATCCAGTGACTACCAAAATATCCATTTTCTATTCTCCCAAAGGTTGTACCACAACATTTCCAAGGGAATCTAACTCAGAGTTCACCTGTCCCTTCTATTTGCTCAAAGTCTAAGATCTTTCCTGTTATGCCATGCTTCCCTCAGGTTCTGATGTGGGTGGTTGGGCTCTGAAAAGTATAAAGTCAAAGGTAATTATCTCCCCAACACACCAGAGTGTCATCAGCAATGTAGTAAGACCATGTGAAAATTTCACTTGAGGGGCTACAGGATGACTCAGCGGGAAAGGCAGCCTGCTCCAAACCTGCTGGTTTGCATTCAATCCCCAAGTTTCCACATATATATTGTGGCATGTGCACCCCCCCACCCTGCACACACACACACACACACACACACACACACACACACAATGAATAAGTAAATGTAGTTTAAACTAAAGAAGTAACTGAGGTAAGTGGTTGTGGCACACAACTTAATCCCAGCACCTGGGAACAGAGATAGATCTCTGTGGGTTTGAGGCTAGCCTGGTCTCCATAGCAACTAACTGTAAACAAATAAATAGTGTCATGTGAGACTAGTTTCAGTTCCTGGTAAGCTAAATTATTTGGGCTATGTTTCTGGCTATGTGCAACTCTCAAGCCTAAATACTTTCCCACTTCTTTAAGTGAGGACCTGACATGAAGAGGCAACAGAGTCAAGAGTCAGCTGGGAGTGTAGCTCAGTAGGGGAGAATGTGTTAGGCCCTGGGGTCCAACCCCAGCACTGTCCCCCTAAAACACAAAACAAAACACAAACAAAAAACCAGAAACAATTTAGGTGAGGGTAGAAAACTAAAAATAAAATGAACTTGAAATAGGTTTTTTGCTCTGAAGCCATTTCTCACATTAGAAAAGGAAAAAACCATTATTTATTTATTTGTTTGTTTGTGTGTTTTGTCCTAGAACTTGCTTTGTAGATCAGGCTGGCCTTGAACTCACAGAGATCTGCCTCCCTCTGCCTCTCAAGTGCTGGGATTAAAAGTGTGTGCTCCCATTCCTCAGCAAAACTATTTCTTTTAAGTGATGAGTTTTGAGGCAGTGCCTCCTGTATCCTGGCTTGGAACTTGTGTAGCCAAGGATGACCTCAAAGTTCTGTTCTTCCTGCTTCCACCTCCCAAGTGCTAAATTTTAGGCTTATAAAACCATGTCCAGATTATGGAATGTTGGGGATGGAACCCAGGGTTTCCTGAATGGTAGGCGACCATTCTACCAACAGACTTCTAACCTCTTTGAGACTGTGTCTCAAATGCTGACCTAAATCATTGGTCTCTAACATCTCTCTGTTTCAGCCTCCTGAGTATTGGCAGGACAGGCATGTGCCACCATGCCTAACTGAAACTGTTGTTTTAACTAAGTATGTCAGCTGCGGCAGCCATCTTCCAGTAACTCGCCAAAATGACAAACACCAAGGGAAAGAGGAGGGGTATTCGCTACATGTTCTCTCGGCCTTTAGGAAGCATGGAGTTGTTCCTTTGGCCACGTACATGTGAATCTACAAGAAGGGTGATGCTGTACACATCAAGGGAATGGGCACTGTTCAAAAAGGAATGCCCCACAAGTGTTACCTTGGCAAGACAGGAAGAGTCTACAATGTCACTCAGCATGCCCTGGGCATCATTGTAAACAAGCAAGTTAAGGGCAAGATTCTCGCCAAGAGGATTAATGTGCGGGATTGAGCACATCAAGCACTCTAAGAGCAGAGACAGCTTCCTGAAGTGGGTGAAGGAGAACGACCAGAAGAAAAAGGAAGCCAAGGAGAAGGGCACCTGGGTTCAGCTCAAGCGCCAGCCTGCTCCACCCAGAGAAGCACACTTTGTGAGGACAAAAGGGAAGGAGCCTGAGCTGCTGGAGCCCATCCCATATGAATTCATGGCCTAATGTACAAAAAGAAATAAAGACCTGGACTGTAAAGGGTTTTTCTTAAAACAAAAAAAAAAAAAAAAACCCCAAAAAACAAAAAAACTAAGTATGTCAGTTAGCCTGGAGCAAAAGCCAAAGCAAGACTTAACTTTTTTTCCCTAAGACTTATTTTATTTATTATGTATACAGTGTTTTGTTTATGTACATGCCAGAAGAGGGCATCAGATCTCATTAGAGATGGTTGTAAGCCACCATGTAATTGCTGGGAATTGAACTCAGGACCTCTGGAAGAGCAGCCACTGTTCTCAACTTCTGAGTCATCTCTCCAGCTCCTGAAACTCAGTTTTAATGGTTTCGTGTAAGCCCGGAAGTGATTTGATAAAGTAAGTTTGTTAGAGCCTCCTGCAGGTAGTGGGAGGGTCAATGGACAACAGTACTGTTTCGAGAAAGGCACAAGAAAGCTGGGAAGCCTGTCGGTATGACTTCATGTAAATTTTAGCTGCTTTAGCCATCACAAGTCCTGAAAATTATTTAACATCATCCTCCAGGGTTCCCAGATTCCCCACGCTTGAGGAACAGTCCTCAGATTCTACAACTATCCCTTAACAGGCCAGGTCTAATGTAGTGGTCCACTCCTTTAAGTGCAACACCAGGAAGGCAGAAGCAGGAAATCCCTCTCAGTTTGATGAAAAGAGAATAAAGGTGGAAATATAGTGCATTTAAGTTTGCCTCAATGACCACAGAGAATCAGTTCTGCTGGAAAGTCTGCTCCCCTCTCTTGTCCAAAACACCCTACCGTGGCGCACACAGGATAGTCTAGACTTGAGTCCAGTAAAACACTCATCAGCACGGAGGCACAAATTCTGGGCTGGTGCTCACTGCCGCTCAGGCACAGGAGACAGCTTTACTTGTTCGGAAATCCAAAGAGGTAGGCGGGTGGGTGGGTGGTCCCATGCCAGATGTGGGGGTCATTGTGCCCTTGGACTCAGCGGTTCCACCCACAGCCATAACCCGCCCTCCGCACGCAGGATCAACTCTGGCTGCCTGCGTGGCTCCTTGTCATCTGGCAGGAGGCGGAAGCGCAGCAGTGTCAGGGCCAGGGCCACCTTCATCTCAGTCATGGCGAAAGTCTGTCCTATGCAGTTCCTGCGAGAGGACAGAGTAGGGACTGCACTGGGACCCAGTCAGGCACCCTCGGACCCAACCTGACCGGATCCCAGCCATGCCTGGTCAGGCTGAGGGGCAGGTGATCGCTGATGTGCCTGGGATCTTGCACTGTGGTTGGTATTGTTGAGGCCTGCCATGGCCTCAGTGCCAACCCAGAGCAGGGCAGGCTCAGAGTACAGAGCTTTTAACCTTGCAATTCGGATTTTGCAGACTTTTGCACATACCCCAAGCAAAGGTCGGTAAAGATCCCCCAAATCCTGACTCATGCAATTGTCCCGCCTTCACTGCCAAACCCAGATTCCCTCCTCCCCCACAAGACCACTGGTCTCACCTGGGCCCGGCTGAGAAAGGAATAAAAGCCAGAGGTGACCTCTTCTGTGGGGCTTCTGGGTCAAATCTGAAGGGGTCGTAGACCTGCAAGCCAGGCAGGACTATGATAATGGGTCGTGTCTCTCCCCACATTCAGCTCTCCGCAGAAAAGACAGACTGAGAAAGGAGGATGATAGCTCTGGTTTCCCAGGTAGGCCTTTTCCCCAGGTCCCGGAGTTAGAGAAAGGGCAGGGTCACACCTCAGGGTCTGGCCAGACTGAAGGATTGTGGTGAACCCCGAAGATGCTGATGACACAGACATTCCCTGTTAAGTAAGTAGATAATGAGGAAAAGGTCCATGTTATTTCTGGGGGACACCATCCTACCTATACCCCTCCTCCCACTGATATTGAGGGCACCTTTGGGGATAACACGGCCATCTGGCAGCACAATGTCCTGGGTGCAGCAGCGGGAGATCATTGTGACTGGAGGATGCAGCCGCAGACTCTCTTTGATGCACATGGTGAGAAAGGGCAGCTGAGCCAGGTCGTCCCTGAGGAACACACCACACAGTTATCCAGGAGCAAAACCAGAGCCTTTCCCAGTGCCTCTGCCACTTAGGCTGATTCATACAAAGTTAAAGTTCTGTACCAAACTATTGTTTTTTAAAATATTAAAATTTTGAGTGTACATGTGTCTCTGTGTGTGTGCCACAAATGTCTGTGGAGGCCAAAAGAGTGTGTCAGATTCCCTGGAGGAGGCATTATAAGTGGCTGTGAGCTGTGTGATGTTGGTGTTGGCATCTAAACTAGATTTCTCTGGGAAAACAGTAAGCGCTCTTAACAATTAATGTTGGCCTTGAACTAGCTATGACCTTGATTGTCTTGCTTCTACTTCCTAAGTGCTGGATGAAAGGAATATTAGCAACTCCAGATATGCTCGTGAATACATGAGAAGTTAATTTCTGGTAAAACAAAGAGGTTGTACACACAGAGAGAGAGAGAGAGAGGAAATCTCAAATATTAACAAATAAAGAACATATGACCTAGGAGAAAAGTAAAGAAAGGTTATAAACTAAGAATTCACAGGAGGGCAAGCATAAGAAATTTAAAAAGAGATGTCCAAGTTGCATCTACAATTCCTGGAAACAAAAAGAGGAAGATGGTAAATTCCAGGCTAGCCTGGCCTACCTAGCTAGAGAATTCCATAGAAACCAAAGGAAGACTGGCTTAGTGGCACACATTTTTAATCCCAGCATTTGGGAAGCAGAGGCAGGTGGATCTCTGTAAATTCCAAGCTAGCCTGGTCTACATAAAGAGTACAAGGACAGCCAGGGCTAAGTAGAGATATACTGTCTCAAAAAACAAAACAAACAAATAAACAACAACAACAACAACAACAAACAAAGGGCATCTCAGGCATCATGGTGGCTTGTAGTAGAATATTACTTAAAGGTGTGTGACTTTTGTTTATATTGCATTTGTTTAACTCTGTGAAGCTGTGATTCTTTGCCTGTCTAAAGCACCTGGTGGTCTTAATGAACAGCCAATAGTGAGGCAGGAGCAAGGATAGGTGGGGCTGGCAGGCAGAGACAATAAATAGGAGAAACGACGAAGTAGGGAAGCAGCAAGAAAACAAAGAGAGGAGGGTGGCAGGGGTCAGCCACCCAGCCACCCAGATACCCAGATACCCAGCCACCCAGCCATCCAGACACCCAGCAACCCAGCCACCCAGCCATCCAGACACCCAGCAACCCAGCCACCCAGCCATCCAGACACCCAGCCACCCAGCCATCCAGACACCCAGCCATCCAGACACCCAGCCACCCAGCCACCCAGATACCCAGCCATCCAGACACCCAGCCATCCAGCTACCCAGCCATCCAGACAGCCAGCCATCCAGACACCCAGCTACCCAGCCATCCAGACACCCAGCCATCCAGCCACCCAGATACCCAGCCATCCAGACAGCCAGCCATCCAGACACCCAGCTACCCAGCCACCCAGATACCCAGCCATCCAGACACCCAGCCATCCAGCTACCCAGACAGCCAGACACCCAGCCATCCAGACACCCAGACAGCCATGGAGTAAGAAGGAAAGTAAAATATATACAAGTAAGAAAGATAAAATCTCAGGGGCAAAAGGTAGATGTGATAATTTAAGAAAAGCTGGCAAGCCATGAGCCAAGCTAAGGTTGGGGCATTCATAAATAATAAGAAGTCTCTGTGTGTAACTTATTTGGGAGCTGGGAGGTGAACCCTCAAAAAGCCAAGAATAAAACAAAGAGCAATTCTGTGCTGGGGAAGATGGCAAAGTAGATACAATTCTTGCCATGTAAGCAAAAAGAACAGAGTTCAGATCTCCAACCACAAGGTCATAGCAGACCCATAGCAAACTCTGTTCAGTGAAGGACTCTGACTCAGTAAAGGAAGTGAGAAAAACCAAGACATGTGATGTTAACATCTGGTCTTCACACACATGCACATACACATGTACACATGTTTGTCTGCATACATACGAACACCCATATACACATGCCCACCCCCTACACACATCATACACATATTTTTTAAAGTTCTCAAGCTGGAAAGATTAACAGCATTCCCTTCTCTTCCAGAAGACCCAAGTTTGATTCCCAGAACCCATCTTAACTGGTTCACAGCTGGTTCCAAGCTATCTGATGCCCTCTTCTGTCATACACATGGCAGGCACTCACACAGCCACACCTACACATACATGAAAATACATAAAAATGAAAAAGTAAATAATTGCTAGATGTATTGGTCTATGCCTTTATTCCCACACAGAGGCAGGCAAGTCTGTCTGAGCTAGAGGCCAGCCTGGTCTAAAAGTGAGTTCTCAGACAGCCAAAACTAAATGTATAGATCAGTAAGAAAAAAAAAAACCCACAGAAATTTCAAAGGTTGGAAAATGAAGTAATCTGACACATCAAAGAAAAAGACATATGCATGGCTGATCAAAAGACGAACGTCATGGTCAACACCATCAGTAGGTACAGTGGTGTTCACTCATGTAGCAGAATGTGCTACAACTTTTCAGACTGGTGAACACTTTCAAGTTCCACACATATACTGATGGAGACACAAAGAACCGAGAAATCTCCGGGTCTGTGTGGAAGTGGATTTTCCAAGAGCCACTAAATTACAGGACTCATGAGTAATGTTTTAAAATTATGTGTGTGGTTGTAGAGGCTAGAGAAGGCATCTGATTCCCTGGAGTTGGAGTTACAGGCAGTTGCTAGTCACCCAGTGTGGGTACTAAGAGCCAAAATCTGGTCCTCTGCAAGAATAGCAAGTGCTCTTAACTGACGAGGCACTTCTCCAATCCCAAAGGCATTTTCAAATATACGAGATATCAGCATATATTCAAAAGGTCTTACTTCAGCAACTGCAGTCTTGGAATTTGTCCTGCACAAGTATCACACGTGATACACAGGGTTGAAGTGCACAGATACTTCCTAAATTGTTTGTTAGAGGAGATGGCTAGAGACCCAGCATGATGATGGCTCAGAAGGTAAAGCACAATGTGCAAATACACAGTAATAAATGAATATAATTTAAAAAAGATAAAAAGATTAGAAGCTAGGCAAATGTCCATTGAGATGGGAATGTTTTGATAAATCTTGATATGTTCTGTCTGCCCTAAAGGCAGCACACCACATATCTTTCTTTGTTCATTTTGAGAAAGGGTCTTGCTTTGTATCCCAGGCTGCCTAGACCTCACTATCATCTGGAGCAGTCTAGTCTCTCTGGTGCTGAGAGTACAGCCTGAATTGCTCATGTTTACCTTTGAGTTTACATTGACTTCCAAAGGTCTTCAGTGGATACACCTTTGGTTAAAGCTCAAGTCATTTATTTAATTATTTATTGAGACAGGGTTTCTCTGTGTAGCCCTGGCTATCCTGGAGTTCCTTCTGTAGACCAGGCTGGCCTCGAACTCACAGAGATCTGCCTGCGTCTGCCTCTTGAGTGCTAGGGATTAAAGGTGTGTGTCACCACAGCCTGCCGGGATGCTCAAATTCTTAAAAGTTTCAAAAATGTCATCCCAGTTCCAGCCTGGTAAGAAGCCTCCTGGTCCTCACATGTGCACTTCCCTAGCATCTCAGCACAACGCTCTCCCTGACCCCTAAGCATGTCGAACTCTCTCATGCATGCTTCCCTTCTGCTGTGGCAGAGATGTCTCATTGACCTGAAGAACTTCTGACTGCCTTGTTCACTGTGCCTTCAAGCAGCCTGGCTTCCTTTGTTTTTTATTTATTTATTTTTTGTTTTGTTTTGTTTTCCCTAACTTGACTTTGATCAGCCATTCTGTAGACTGAAACAGGATGATCACTTGAGTCCATCAGTTTGGTACCAGCCCGGGCAGTACAGCAAATATTTCATCACTTGACCAGCTTAAAAATGCATCCAGGAATGGGCATGGTGACATGGTTTTATAATACCAGCACTCAAGAAGGGGCATGCAGATTGATTTGAAGCCACCCCAGTGTTTTAGTTGGGGTTTCTATTGCTGCGAAGAGACACCATGACCATGGCAACTCTTATAAAGGAAAGCATTTTATTGGGGGCAGCTTACAGTTTCAGAGGTCTACTCCATTATTGTCATGACAGGAAGCATGGTGGCATAGAGCAAGACATGGTGCTGGAGAAGGAGCCGAGAGTTCTACATCACAATCGGCAGGCAGCAGGAAATGAACTGGCTTACGCTTCTAAGATCTCAAAGACATACCTACTCCAACAAGGCCACACCTCTTAATGCCACTCCCTATGGACCAAGTATTCAAACATGAATCTATGGGGGCCATTCCTATTCAAACCAGTCCACTAGGCTTCATAAAGATATCCTTCCTCAAAAATAAATTGTAGTTTTGAGGCAATGTTTCACTATGTTGCCTAGGCTGGCTTTGAACTCGGACAGAGTTGTGACAGAGTAGGTACTGTGGACATGTTCTTTGAGTTAAGAGATAGATCCCTTTTACCCATTGAAATCCTTGTGAGGCCCCAACATCAACTGCATGGTGTGAATTAAACAAAAGAGCAAAAATAAAAGGGAGCTAAGGTCTCAGGAAGGAAAATCAAATTTAAGCAGAAAAGCCAAGGACAGAGGGCAGCTTTGAATTTGTGTTGGTGGCATCTGCTGTCTTCATATTGCCACTGCTTGCCCAGGCAACCCTGTAGGGCAGGCTTCTCCAGTCTACGGAGTATACAGATGATTTATAAATGTTTGCTAATTTTGACTAGCAAGTTAGTGTGGTGGCTTTGATTGAGATCCCTCTGTCCCTGAGATACAGCTTTTCTCTTGTTGGTCAGGCTAAGTATCTCCCTCTGAGCTCAGCTTCTATGCACACCAAGTAATAATGGAAGAATCAACAAAAAAAGAGCTTCTCTTCCCTATCTGGGGAGCAGAGTCAGTGAGAAGGGCTGTAGAATACATCAGAAGAACCTGCACTCACCATTCAATCTCCTCAGGCTCTCTGCCCCTTAGCAGCTCCTGCACCTCTTGCCGGCAGCGCTCCTGGTATTCTGGGTGCCTCGCCAGGTTGTACAGGATCCAGGAGAGACCACTGGCTGTGGTGTCATGACCTGAGGGATAGTCAGGAAGGCTTGTGTCTCTGGACTGCTTCCATATTACAGGCTGGACAGTGTCTAGATACCCAGGTCCCCAGGAAGGACAGGGAAGGGATGGATGGAAGGAATGGAGAGACCCTAGTGGCCCCCTGACAGATGACCCTGGAACTAACGGATGCTATCCTTTCTGTAGCCTTACATAAGGACACTCACCTTCAAACATGAAGGTGTCAGCCTCTGCCCGGATATCCTCATCTGACAGCTCCTTTCCATGTTCATCCTGAAGACAAAGCACGATCACAACTCACACAGTGTCTGGGAACTCTTGAGTCTATCTTGAGACAAGCCCTGACAGCCTCTGTGCGCATAGGATTCCCCTGTATGATCTCCAGAGCATTCCACACAATTTCCTCTTTGGCTTCTTGCTGTTCTTTGCTTCTTCTACACAGCATTCAACATGCACCTCTAACTTTTTTCTCCTTTTTACAACCACTGTTGATGGCTCCCAATACTGTCTAGATTAAGCCCTCAGCTTCTAGCTAACATTGAACATCAAGATCCATGCAATTCAGATCCTCCCATAATGCCCACCTTGGCCATCAAGAGCACATCAATGAAGTCTAAAGTCTTCACGAATTCATCAACACCCTGGCTATTGAGGGTGCGGCGTCTCTCCCTGATGACAGCATCTGTGAAGTTATGCACCAGGTCACAGGCCTTGCGGAAGCGCCGCCCATCAGCAGTGAGGTAGTACAGGAAGTCCATATGCAGAAAGAGCTGGCGGTGCCGTTTCATTATGAGAGAGCTGAGCTCCAAAATGGCAGCAATGTATTCACTGGGAGACCTGCAGGGCAGGCCAGAGAGAAAGCAAACTCATAGGACACATGAATCCCCCCTCCCCAGGCAGACACAGAGGACTAAGTTCCCCCACAAAGGTGCCCACCAGCCATACTTCTCTCTGCCTCTCCCTTTGCGTCGCCATGTCCCTGGGATTCCAGGGTGGACATGGTCATTGTCCTCATCTTTCTTCCTTGATTGGTTGCAGATCAGCCCTCTTTTCCACACCACAATCAGATCTTTACCTCTCTAAATCCTACATCATGGATCTACCTGTTTGTCCTCTAAAGCACTGGTATCTAAATTCAACTGTGACTTAAAGTCTCATATTAAATAAATATGGTTTCCTGGGAAACTCAAAACGAAGTTCACATCCTTCTGGCTGATTGTTCAACATCATTAACATTGGACCTGGTATTCACGTTGAAAGCTTAACATTTAGGAAAAAGAGGCAGGGGGATTGTGAGCTCTAGGACAACCCAGGTTGTATAGTAAGACCCTTTCTAAAAATGAAACGTTTCATTTTTTTTTAAATTAAAGTTTCTCTATGTAGTCCAGCCTTATCTCAAACTCATGAGAGAGAGAGAGGAAGAGAGAGAGAGAGGGAGAGAGAGAGAGAGAGAGAGAGAGAGAGAGAGAGAGAGAGAGAGAGAGAAAAGGAGAAAGAAAAAAGAAGGCAATCTCCACTATCTAATACTGAGTGACAGTTCATCTTTTTTTATGACAGGGTTTCTCTATGTAGAGCTGTCCACCCTGGAACTCAGAGATCTGCCTGCCTCTGCCTCCCAAGTGATGGGATTAAAGGAATTGGTTACCACTGCCTGGTGACAGTCAATCTTTTAAAATAAATTTTTAAACCTTTGATCATATTCTTTCCCCTCTGCCAATTCCTTCTTGAATCTTCCCACCCATCTAACTTTGTTTTTTTTTCATTCTCTTAAAACAAAACAAAAACCCAAAATGAAACAAAAGGACACACACACACACACACAAATGGTGTCTGATTTGTGCTGAGCAAGAGATTCTGCCTTGGAGTGTGGTAGATATAGATATACCCCGTGTCACTTCTTAGGTAGTGGTAGGACTTTGTGCCCACTTCCCTTTTCTACTGGGATCAATAACAGTTAATCTTGATCACCATCTTGATTGGCTTTGGACACATCTAGGAGTTTGATGTTTCTGAGTGTGTCTATAGGGGTATTTCAGAGAAGACTAAATGGGTAAAGGCCAGCTCAGTATGTGGACAGACACATCCTATTGGCTGGGGCCTCATGTAGACAGAAGGGGGAGGAGGAGAAATGTTGGTTGCAAGCACAAGCAACCTTCACTCTTTACTTTTTGGCCAATATGATGGGAGGTGCTATGCCATCCTTTTCCCTACCAGGAAGGACTTAAATTTCTGATACCAGGAGCTCAAACATATCTCTTCTCCTTTAAGATGTCTTGCTCATGTATTTTGTCACAACAGGAAAAAAAAAATATTGAACACCCCGACCCAATTTCCAGATGTTTTGTTTCAAACTGCCTGTTAATGCCAATCCTCATCTCCAACTCCCTGCCTTCATCTAAACAATCCCTCCTACCTGAAAGGACCACTCTTTCTCCGTTTACTGTCCTCAAATGTCAGTTACAGCCTGTCTTTTCTCCCCCTGGTGAGCCCCTCCCTCCCCAACCTCCCCCCTTGGTCCATGGTTCAGGTTAACAAAGACTCACTCCTGACAGTTGCTGTCGAAGCTGAAGACGCATTTCTGCAGACTGTCCAAGGTCATGAGGCTGATGTGTTCAAACATGTCCAGACGGGCGCTGCCCTTGGTGGTCAGGTGCTGCCACTTGGCCTGGCCAGAGAAGTAGACTGAGATGTGCTAAATCTTGCCTTCTTGAGTGACGGCTCAACTCCAAACACTGGAACAGAGTCCCCTAACCTGATCTGAGTCAGCCTTCTGGTCCTCTGCCACAGGCACACCACCCCAGGGTAGGCCAGATGTGGGTAAAAAGTGTTACTACATGAGACAAACATGCAAGTCTGGGAGGCAGGAGCCCTGAGTTCAAGTCCACTTTCTGTACACCTTTGTTCAGCATATAACCCTCTCCTCAGTCCCACCTCTTAAACCTCTAGTAATTATTAAGTAGGCCTGATTTTTCCCCCATAAACTATACCTAAATATCTTGCTTCACTGCTTATACTTTCTTACTGCTGGTGAACTTTGACACACTCCCTGACCTCTCTGGCCCTCAGTTTTGTCATCTGTAATATAGTAGTCATAGTCATCTCCATCTTAGAACAGTGTGGAAATTATATCAGACAACTTAGACCATGGAAGTGTCATAATATTTCTGTATATACTAGGTGATCAATAAATGTCTGCTGTTATTAGCATTCCTGTAGCACAGTGGTATGAGACTTTAGTAGTGGCCCCAGTTTTTCATAATCCCTCTACCCTCAATCTCTGCAATGAGCCCTTGAGGCTCTCTCTATTGGGAGGTAGGCCTGTTTCTTCAAGTCTTGAATCTGAGCTGAACTAGGGACTTATTTGCTCTGACCTGATGAGTGTTGTAAAAATGATGGTGTGCTATCTCTGGAGCTAAGCTGGAGAGTTACTAAGCTTTTCTGTGTTTTCTCTCTTTCAGAACCCAGTCTCTCTGTGCTAGAAAACTAGACTCTCATAAGAAACATAAATTTGTTTCACCTTGTCTGTCTAAGGCACCTGATTGATCTAATAAAGAGCCGAATGACCAATAGCTAGGCAGGAGAAAGGGGCAGGTGGGACTGGAAGGGCGAGAGAACAAATAGGAGAAATCTAAGCTCTAAAGGAACAAGAGAAGAAGAGGGAGGAGGAGGAAGAGAGAACAAGGTAGATAGCTAGGGCAAGAAGCCAGGCAGATGCCAGTCAGCTAGATATAGAGAAGCAGTAACAGTAAGATATAGAGACGAAAGGTAATATGTCCCGAGGCAAAAGGTAGATAAAGAAAAACATGTTAATTTAAGTTAAAAGAGGTAGCCAGAAATGTGCCTAAGTCACACCTAGCATTCAAAACTAATAAGTCTCTGTGTCATGATTTGGGAGCTGGTTGTGACCTAAAATAAAAGGACTGGTACAGTGTGGCATGTAGAAAGACCTACTGTGCAACACTCACGAATGTGTCAACTTGCCAAAGCTTCTGTGACCACAAATAGATACAGATCCTTCTGAGCCCTCTTTGGATGCTAGGAGGTTGACTCCATGGTGTCACCTTGACTACCCTTTAATAATAGATTATATTCCCATTTTACAGGTAGAAAATTGCCGGGTGGTGGTGGAGCACACCTTTAATCTAGCACTCAGGAAGCAGAGGCAGGTGGATCTCCGAGTTCCAGGCCAGCCTGGTCTGCAGAGTCAGTTCCAGGACAGCCAAAGTTACACAGAGAACCTTACCTCGAAAAACCAAAAATGAAAAAGAAAATAAAGGTTTGGAAAGGGAAATTTGTGATCCCAAAGGCATCTAGCAGAACCCCACCTGCAGATTACATCTGAAATGACAATGCTTTCTACAAGGTTCCAGTGGGACTCCATGTTCAGGAAACTCACATGCATGATGTTCACACTCTTGTTAAAAATCTTCACATAGGGCTTCAGGATGTCAAAATGAAAGGCTGGTGTCAGCAGGCGGCGGTGGTGGCTCCACTTGTCACCAGCACTCAGCAGGAGCCCATCCCCTGGTAGCACAGCCATGACAATAGGTGAGGGTAGCTTTAGCGCCCTCCCTGAACCCTCAAGGAAGCCCCTCTGACCTCACCTTCAGATACTCACCCAGCCAAGGCTTCAGGAGGCCATAGAGAGTCATTTCCTTGGGTGCAACAGCAGCTGACACAAAGGAAGACAATCAGGGGCCATGGAAAAGGTAGGCAATGGACTTCACGAGGGGCAGGAATTCTCAGCCAGGGCTGTGCATTTTCCCTTTGAGCTCATTGTCTCAGTTTACATGGACGGAGGGTGATTTGAGAAGGAGATGATGTACAGAGAATTACAGGGAAGTTCTACCACAGCCCAGATAAGTCCAGCTATGTCTCATTGACCCTGGGGCTGGACGGGCAAGTGGCAGCTCTAAGTGGTGAGCACATGGGTATAGCACCCTGTGGTATCTTTGAGGATAGGGGAGTCCCTAAGCCCTTGCCACATCCTGGAAATGTATGAGACCAGCTGTACAATAAGGGAGAAGTGTAGGGCGAGATAAGGAAAGCAGCATCGACACCATGAACCCCAAGGATATGTTTGACTACGTGGCCCGGGGGGAAAGGGTGAGCTCTGGAATGACAGTCTGTTGTTCCTCTACCTTCTCCCCACCCCTGCTATATAATGTGATGGTTAGAGATGAGATGTGAGGCAGTTTTATTGTTTTTAGTATGTTAGAACTCTCTGCCTACTGGGATTGCAGGCTCTCTGAATAAAGTACAATATAAAGATTAAATTATAATTTCCAGTCATTGGCATTCACATTGATAGGAAGTATGAACCTCAGTGTTATGGTTACCTACTCTGCTCCCTCTGCCCGGATGGCTTTAGGACTCTCCAGCTAATCACCGACTTAACAAGGAGGCTCAGTGGTGCCTGGACAAGAAGAGCTCCTAAGCCCTCTTGGAGACTTTCCCTGCCCCAGCTTCTGGCACTCCTTGTCACTTTCACTTAGTGAATTGAGTTACTGTGCTTTCAGTTTTGTTTCCGGGTTACAGCTTGCTTGACTTGTGGTTTAAAAGTATGCTCGAGTGCAGTTTTTTATTTGTTTGTTTGTTTGTTCTTCTCTCCCCAGGTTATGGCACATGAGGCTGTTCTGTTCTGCTGTTTTGATCTCCTTTACAATTCTATCCATTGTATTGGGTGCTACAGACTCCATTCCTGGTGACAACACTTAGGGAGAAGCATCCTGACAACTGGCCTGATTATGTTTACTATCTTACAAAAATGATATAGTTGGTGGGGGATTTTCATCTGTATATATGTTTCTCTTATTGGATGTTGAATAAAACACTGTTTGGCCAATGAGACAGGAAGATAGGTGGGTCTAGGAGACAAGGAGAATTCTGGGAAAGGTAGGCAGAGTGAGCTGGCCACACAGAGATGTGATGCGGCCAAAGGAGTAACAGCACGACAGGGTATTACCGGGTAAGCCACAGCCTCGTGGCAATACACAGATTTCTAGAAATGGGCTAATAATTAAGATGGAGCTAGCCAATAAGAAGCCCTAGTCATTGACCATCCGTTTCATAATTAATATAGTATCTGTGTGTTTGTTTGGGGCTGAGCAGGACGGCGGGACCAGGCTGTTGGGACAAAGAACCTCTCCTTACATATATTATTATAAAAGTTCTGGCCAGTATATGTATTACATCCTGGGGTGGTGGTGGTCATTAAATATTTCTCTAATTATCATATTACTTTACAATTATAGTTTAGACAATGAAGGGAAAGATGAACTTACTACAGTCTCACTATTTTGCTTTCATTTAATAAGTTCTGTTCGAGATGTAAATTTCCTATTTTGTTTCCATTTAAGGGTGCACCCTGAACTAATGGAATTGCTTTCAAAATTTACTTTCTTTATTTTTATTGTGAGTGTATGTGTCATGTGTGATACGTGGGTATGTGCATACATGGCAGTCAAATGGAGGTCAGAGGACAAATCTGTAGAGTCAGTTCTGTCATTTTACTCTTAGTGAGTGCCAGAGATCAAACTAGGTCATTAGAATTGTGCAATAAGTGCTTTTAGTCACCAAGCCACTCTTTCAATCCCAATGTAATTGCTTTTATGTAACATTTTATAACTATAACAGTTTGCAACAAAATTTAATCTATTAATGAATGACAGATTTATAGCCTTTATTTTACATGTTATATTTTAAAATGAAAACATGAACTGAGTCCAGTAGCCCAGTCAGTACTACTAGATAACCACTGCCTTTCATTCCTTCAGTAAGAAGCCAGATATTTGCTCTCTCCCACAGTTTTCAGGGTAACAAACAGCTTTTGTATTTCATACTGTAATTAAACAGGGTTGGTATCAAGACCTTTGGCCCCCTCCCTTGTGCCTTCTTGCTTATACAATGTAGTTCCCTATCCAAGCTCACTGAAGACTTTGTTAGCTTGCCAGCCTCTGCTGGAATGTAAGATTCTGTAACCCTCAGACATTAGTGAGACAAGGAAAAATTTGTAAGACACACAAAAAGCAAAACAAGCAAACAAACAAACATAACCAGCAATGAAGTCTGCTTAGGTCTTGCACAGACAGGAAATTTATATCTCAATAAAATGTGAGTGAGTAAACTTAATCCATTACACTATGTCATAAATTTAATTTGGATTGAATACTTTCTTAAGAAGCTGATAAAGAGGTTTGTTGTGTTGCTGGATCTCATGATATCAAGAAAAGAAATAAAGCCAAAACAAAACAAAACAAAATAGTTTAGTTAGAGAGAGAAATACAATAGAAAATAGAAATGTATATTTTTAATGAGAAAAATTAAGGAGAATTTTTTAAAGAAAGGGTTTTCTTTTGCATGGTAAAATAAGATTTTTGCCCTAAGATAAAATTATTAGATTTTCCCAAAATGGTAAAAGATAAAGCCAGGAGACTTCCACATCCCAGAAGATCCAGGCAAACTGCATAGGGGCTATAGAAAGAATCTTCTTTAACAGTAGTAGCGTATGGTGATTGAAGGTTATTAAGATTCCTGAGGTTAAAATTCAGTACATTACTGTAAAACTAAAGTCTAACTCTTTGGCTAAATGATATGTAAGTTAAGCCTTCATATCTGGCTTTAAGTGAAATGTATAGTAAAGCCTTTGTGTCTGGCTTTGAGAGAAATGTTTTAGCAAAGCCTTTGCTGTGTTTGGGTTAATCAGTAATTGTTTTGAGACTGTTTGAACCTAAAAGAAATGTTGTTTCTCTGGAAAGTCTGGACTTAGTGCTACATGAGACCTTGCAGCTACACATGTCTTGGTCCTAAGACACTCCTGGCCATAATCAAAAGGGAGGCCAGAAGATGACATCAGATACCTGGGGTGGGTCTGGAGTTATAGGCAGTTGTGAGCTGCCTGATGTGAGTGCTGAGAATTGAACTCAGATCTTCTGCAAGAGCAGTGAGTGCTCTTTACCACTAAGTCATCTCTCCAACCCTATTTTCAACTTTATAAGCAAGGTTATTTTAAGATGCTGCTAGTTATTTAAGGTGGTTCTAATAGAAGATAACTAGATTAGTTCTGCTGATTGTGAAGCTTTTTGCAAAACTGTAACCAGGACTATTTTAATTCTTTTGTTTCCCACAGTTCTAGTCTTTATAAAATTTATAATAAGAAGCTGCGTGTAGTTCAGATTATAGACTGCCTAGCATGCATGGAGCCCAAGGTCCAAGTTTATACCACACAAAGCAAGTGTGGGCTGTGAACATTTGTATTCTCAGCATTTGGGAGGTGGAGGTAGGAGGATCAGGAATTCAAGATTATCTTTGCTACATAGGATATTTGAAAAGCTGTCTAAACAGATTTATAACACTTTTTTTTTCTTTTTGGAGGTTTTGAGACTGGGTTTCTCTGTGTAATAGCTCTGGCTGTCCTGGAATTCACTCTGTGGACCAGGCTGGCCTTGAATTCATAAAGATCTGCCTGCCTCTGCCTCCCAAGTGCTGAGATTAAAGACTTATGCTACCACCACCCAGCTAAGAAACTGTATGGATGAAAGGATTGGTAGGGGTTCTTTATATTTTATAAGGAAATATTTTCATTCCACATTAAGGGAAGAAATTTACACATTGTGAATAGATCTGTACAGATACATGGGGAATGGTTTCTTCTGAGGTAACTACTCTCAACCTAGGCAACAGTAAAAAGAATGCAAGACAGACTACAGACACTAACAAAACTCAACATCCATGTGAATGTCTTGGCCTAGCTACACAGAGTTTAATACCCAGAACCCCACGTCAAAGGAGCAAACCTGAGCTGTGGAAATGCTGACTGGCATTTGCTTCTCTCCTTCCCTGTATAAGCTGCTTGCTTGTGAGATACATGTGTAGGGGTAAGGGATGGCATATGTATGTGTCTGGGCATGTGGAGACCACAGTCAGTGTCAGGACTTATTCTTCAGGCAGCATCTACCTTGGTTTTTTGTTTGTTTTTGTTTTTGAGACAAAGTCTCTCACTGGAACCTAGGGCTCACTAGTTTGACAAGACTTGCTAACCAGTGAGCTCTAGAATCACTGTTTCCACCTCCCCAGTACAGGGAATTCAGGTGCATACCACCACACCCAGTTTGTTTTAGTAAGGTGGTGTTTTAGTGTCCCGGTGGT